AATCCACAGACAGCAAGGAGTCTTTCTCGGAATTGGTTGAGATCATGAAGCATAGTTTTCAGGAAGGTTTCCAATCTATGAAGGAAGCCATCAAGGATCTTATTCAGACTAAAAAACAAAAGGGGGAATTCCCTAAAAGGAATGTTGAATGTTACAGATGTCACAGGATGGGGCATTATTCAACGGAGTGTTTTGTCCACAAAACAGTGAATGGAGAACCCATATCAAAACGGCAGGAAACAAAAGTTACTGCCCCCATTCAATTTTTAACAGAGAACAATGGGAAAATTGAATCAGGAGAGGGAGACAACCAAATTGTACGGAAGATAATTGCCAAGACAGAGATATGTGGCACACTGTCTAGGAAAGTTGCTGAAGTCTCCCCAGCAACTAAAGGAGATGATTTTTCTGATTGTCGAACAAAGGAGAATATTCAAATTCAACCTAATACATTTGTCTTAACAGAACAGATCAGTGGTAGTACCGATACAAACTTCCATGTAGTATCGGAAACTACAGAGTCTACCGATGTCACATCAGAAGAGTGCCCAGACTTGGCGAACAAAGTTCCTCCACTCAGTGGTAGTAGAGGGAGTTCTAGATTATCTTGGGACTCAAAGGATATCAAGAAAAACTACACTGGCAAGGACATACAGAGACAATTTGACAAAAATGAAAACTCATGTCCTCGACCGGGACAAAATAAAAACAGGGAGGAGGCATGGAGGAGACGAATTGGGCTCATTGAGGATGTAAATACAAAGAGTGTTGAAATAGATCTATAGATCAGGGAAGGCCAAACACGGAGTTGTAGTAGCCGTAATCAATTTTCATCTTTTTTTGTTTTTGTTTTTTTTTTGTTTTCGGTTCGGGACGAACCTACCCCTGGGAAGGGAGGAATGTGATGAAAATTGATTATTGTGTTTTCGTTTCACCATTACCGGTTTTGATAAGAAATTCCGGAAATAAGGAAGTCAATGTAATTTTTCTTTCGAAATCGGAAAACGAAGCCATTTTACAGGAATTTCAGTGGAACTGGTGAGTTTAGGCGAGTGGCGGATCAATTATTGGCATGTAATCTTTCATAGGAACTTTGATTTTTAATCATTTTCGAGTTAATTGATCACGTTTTTAGCATTTTAGTGACATGACCATCCACGGCAATTTCATATTATCGCCCATTGCGGAGACTCATTGGCATACTAACCTAGTTTTCTGGCGGAATTAACCAATCAGATTTATGCAGTCCAAAACGTCCGCGCGGGGCATATAAAAGGAATTTGACCAGTTTGTCAAGTTGTTGTGCGACAAATAATTAACGGATTTACAGACTGGAACAACCACGGGGTCGTAAGTAAGAATATTTTGTTGAGTAATTGATGAAAGATTGTCGATCAAATATCATCACAGTTTGTCCAATTTTTAGCCTGGACATTTTGAACATTGATTTAGATATCATATCGGATTGTATCTATTACTATATTTGCCGAGATTGTGTGTGTATTTTTGTTCATTTTTTTTACTCAACATTATATTGTTATTTGGGAGAGTTGCACCCAACTTTGCAACCCCATATCGGTGCAAGGAACATTTGCACCCATATCAACCACCTTGAATAGGTGTGAAGGATATTTGGGAGAGTTGCACCCAATTTGCAACCCCAGGACATTTTGGAGAGTTGCACCCAATTTGCAACCCCATATCGGTGCAAGGGATATTTGCACCCATATCAACCACCTGGAATAGGTGTGAAGGAATTTTTGGGAGAGTTGCACTCAATCTTGCAACCCCAGGACATTTGGGAGAGTTGCACCTAACTTGCAACCCCATATCGGTGCAAGGGATATTTGCACCCATATCAACCACCTGGAATAGGTGTGAAGGAATTTTTGGGAGAGTTGCACTCAATCTTGCAACCCCAGGACATTTGGGAGAGTTGCAGCCAATTTTGCACCCCCATATCGGTGCAAGGGATATTTGCACCCACAGTAATCAACGGAAGGAATTTTTGGGAGAGTTGCACTCAATCTTGCAACCCCAGGACATTTGGGAGAGTTGCACCTAACTTGCAACCCCATATCGGTGCAAGGGATATTTGCACCCACAATAATCAACGGAAGGACATTTGGGAGAGTTGCAATTAACTTTGCATACCCCATATCGGTGCAAGGAATATTTGCACCCATATCAACCATTTGGGAAAGTTGCAACCCAATTTGCAACCCCATATTGGTGCAAGGGATATTTGCACCCATATCAAACACCTGGAATAGGTGTGAAGGAATTTTTGGGAGAGTTGCACTCAATCTTGCAACCCCAGGAGATTTGGGAGAGTTGCACCCGACTTTGCAACCCCAGATTGGTGCAAGGGATATTTGCACCCATAATAACCACCTGGAATAGGTGTGAAGGATATTTGGGAGAGTTGCACCCAATTTGCAACCCCATATAGGTGCAAGGGATATTTGCACCCATTATAACCATCTGGATTAGGTGTAAAGGATATTTTGGAGAGTTGCACCCAACTTGCAACCCCATATTGGTGCAAGGGGCATTTGTACCCATGATTGCAACCTGGACATAGGTGCAAAGTATAATAAGAGATATAAAGGACTTGCACCCTGGTTAAGGGACAGGGGCAAGGTGCACCTTGGTTAAGGAACAAGGGCACATAAAAGGACTTGCACCCTGGTTAAGGAACAGGGGCAAGATGCACCTTGGTTAAGGAACAAGGGCATATAGAGGAATTGCACTCTGGTTAGGAACAGGGGCACACAGAGACATTGCACCTATGATTAAGAATATTTGCACCCGGTTGCACCCATAGCGTATATTTGCACCCGATTGCACCCATAGTGGATATTTGCACCCGGTTGCACCTCGGATTAAGGATTTAAGGATACTTGCACCAGGTTGCACCCCATAAGGACATTTGCACCCGGTTGCACCTCGGATTAAGGATTTAAGCACATTTGCACCTGATTGCAACTTGGATAAAGGATTTAAGGACATTTGCACGTGATTATAACTTGGATAAAGGATTTAAGGACGTTTGCACCTGATTGCAACTTGGATAATGGAATATAGAAGATTTGCACCCTGGTTAAGGAACAGGGGCAAGATGCACCTTGGTTAAGGAACAAGGGCATATAAAGGGATTGCAAATTGGACATAGGTGCAAAGGATAATAAGAGAATTTAAAGGACTTGCACCCTGGTTAAGGGACAGGGGCAAGGTGCACCTTGGTTAAGGAACAAGGGCACATAAAGGACTTGCACCCTGGTTAAGGGACAGGGGCAAGATGCACCTTGGTTAAGGAACAAGGGCATATAGAGGAGTTGCACCCTGGTTAGGAACAGGGGCACACAGAAACATTGCACCTATGATCAAGGAATATAAGGGCTTTTGCATCCATTGAGTAGGACCGTTGCAACCGATTGCAACTTGGATAAAGGAATTTAAGGATACTTGCACGAGGTTGCACATTAATTAACGTGATTAGTTGACAGTTGAGTCCCGTGGCCAGGAGCGCCATTTTATTTCAGGACAGACAACGGAATACAAAGACAAGAGGTGCATCCCACAATTGCTGAAGAAGACACAAACAAAGACATCTAATGTTATAGTGATTGTTTAATATGAGTTCATGATTATTTTATGTGGCGACTATAGAGACATTCAAGTGATATCAACCTTTATCTTTTGCTGGAACTTATCAAAGTGATATCCTCTTTTGATCTTACTTTCTTATAGTAACTTAAAGACATTCAAGTGACATCACATGTTTTTCTGCCTTAAGGCATTAGTGATTATATAGTTTAGGGTAGTTTGAGCTCGACTTTGTACATAATTTTCTATTGTTTCTAAACCATTGTTTGGCTCATAAAGAGCAAATATATAACTTTACTTTTATTCTGTACTTGAATGTTCATTGTTGTATTGTAGTGAGTTCCAGAGGGAACTTGTGTAGTGCAAACCCAGATTGCGTAATACTTTCTTTCCCCTTGCATTCCCTTGGAGTAACATCTCAGGCGACTGTAGCGAGCGGAGTCAACGCCGCTCCGTATAATCCCGCAATTAAGTAACACACGGGAGGGTCCATCTTCCCCGCATTTTCCCCGCATTCCTGACTGCCGGGAAAAACGTTACAATATTTATCTCGATCGAACTTGATAAGTGCAAAAAATCCTTTACGGAACGACCTACCTAGACTTTGATTTTTCACGTTTGGATGTACGTAAACCGGGAAATAAGTAGAACAATATGACGTCACATCCTGAGAAAAACCTGCGTGCGCCTTCCCGTTCGCGGTTTACGTTGTAAAAAGTAGTGTTGCTTAACCTCTTTAATATGTTACAGACAATCACCATCAAAGTTGAGCGCGGGTTACAAACGTGATGGCGAAAGGCGCAATAAAAGTTAATTCCTAAATTTTGGGTGTTGCATCAAAATAGCAACTCCAACGAGAAGCAAGTTTCATGGAATTAACAATTTGATTTAATTTATATGATGTATCTAATCTGATTGTCGCAAATTAAACTGCTGAATGAATGGACGCAGTGCGACAGACAGCTGAAATGCCGTTCACTATGTACCTTTATCATGTTAAATTAAGAGAATTAATAAAAAATAATATTAAGATAAATATATTGTGCCAAAAAGCCTCGAAACCAATATGTTTGCAATACATAGCTTGTAAAATAGAAAATATGTCACTCCTCTCAAATAAATCGTAGCTTTGAAAAGTACTGACACTATGAGAGCATTTCTATCAAGATAATTTCAAATAGCAGTTTGTTATTTCTAGTGTATCGTTGGTTTAACAAACAATGGTTAAATAGAGAGTGATCGTTTCTCAGAACCCAGGGCCACAAAACTCGCTCGTCCTTCATCCCCGGGCCTCTTACTCAACTATCTCGATCAAAGTCCATTAGGACAATCAGAAATTCTGGATCTTGCAGCCCTGTGATTGGATGATGTTTATTTTAAAAAAGACTTACCCGTCCACAATCTCAATTTCAGGAGTCCACAGCATTCGTGCAGGGAGGTTGATGACGTCCAAATCTCCGTATTTTGTCTTGTTCCAACGAAGTCTGTAATCATCCCATTTCTGGAATTACATTATTAAGTATAATTCAACTAACTGGGATTTCTACTTTGAACATTAAACGTATCAAATTATTTGAATTACATAACAATTGTTCCAATGTTCGTCCTCTGAACGCAGATGTGCAGGCGTTATCAAATGTATTCTTATCTCCTTCCAAGATGCCTTGACCCCTTTAAATACTTTATAGTGTATTACTTAAAATTAACTGAGATATATGCCCGTATTTGTGTGACGTCATCAAAAATTGTATAGGAGAGCACAGAAGAAGGTATCTGTTTTCTGTATACTTACAACTTGGAGATGGACAGTTGTTGTCAACTTCTCATCTTGATCAATCTAAAACATTTCAAAATAAATATTTATTGAGCTACTAACATGTACACCATTATACGTACTTAGTATTCGACATTAGTTGACAAATTGTCAATTTTCTCTCAAAATTATATTTTTGCTGCCAAATATGCTACGCTTCCTCAAAGAATAATTTATTATCTCTCAAATAAAGCAAAAGTAGTAGATTTTTAATGTCTGAACTTATGTACTTTCAAAGACAGCAGGTATCGCGAAATCCCATTGAATCCAATGTCACACGAAATAGAATAATCAACAATTTCAGGTTAATATTGTTTTTGTCGTTAGCATTCATATAATAAGATGTGCAACAAATATCAATCAATGACTAAGTGATACAATAGATGAATGCTTGACTTGGTAGTATTCCAATATAATTTCGGTTCATGATGTTGCCTAGCAACCACCTAGCAACGGCACATACATCGAATTAGAAAAAAAGTAAACTTGGGACTAGGGGAGAATAAAAAAATATATCTAATTTAGAAAATGAATCATCAGAATTATATCAGCTAAATTTGCATAAACATCAGAAATATGCAAAGAAATTTCAAAGGTATCGAGTAGTTATTGAAAAGTTTTCTTTTTTGTAAAGAGAATGCGATTCGCGACTACTTGGCGATTAACTGTTTTTAACCTTTAACAAGTCACAAGATAGTTAATAATAGAGATCAATTTTCATGTAATAAAGCATTTTGGAAATATAATTCAATATGCTAAATGATTATTTATCAAACAGAGCAATAATCAACATTTGTATTATCTTCAGTAAAAAAACAGGATAACAATCAACATTTTATGAATTTCATTTTTATTGGCATCAACTTCCGATTATCAGAACGTTGTCCTCTACCCACAATCACCTTGATTTTACTCCAATTTTTTATTTTACTCCATTTTACTCATTTATCCGTGGCTCAAGCAGACAAAACAACAGGGGCACAAGAAATGTTTGCAAAAAGGACATAGAAAAAATCGAGGGGTCAACATGACATTAGGCTTAACATTTCAAGCCATAACGATTTTGACATTTTCTTCGAGTTAAATCAGATTCTATTGCATTTTAAGTCATCTAGCAAAACACTGACATAGTGAACTTTTCCAATTCTAATAAAGTTTGACATTTCTGTATCAAAACCTTCTATATTCGATCAGGTATTTCGATTTTATCTTTTCGCACAAGACAATTAGTATTCGGTAATTTTGCATTTTGTACACTTGTTTCATTAAGATGATTTTTGTTGTTAAATTGCCCGATGTGGCAAAACACTAGTCTATATCAAATAGACTGAATATCCTACGAATTCAGTCTATTGATCATTTTGTCCCTCCTGTGGAAAAACAGGAAATTTCCAGCACAAAATTATCAATTTTAGGAAGCTTCGCTTCCCAAAAATAAGCATTATAAGTTACAATTCAATTAAGTAGTAAGGTACAATTAAATGCTATAAAAAGTAACACAGCGTTTTGTCAAATGGAAAAAAAGCTAGGGGAAGTAACAAATATGCAAATTAATTTACTTCATCGGCCATTTTGAATGGCACTTCCTATGTAAACAAATAATTTTCAATCCCAGATTTTAACATATGTTGGCTATAGTCTGAATATTTTCATTTCAAAAAAAATTCAGACAAGAGGATATAGTCTAGGCAAAACACGTTGTTTAGTTCTAATGTAATACTTACACCAAGCGAAAATGTTGGGTTAGACTGTATTATAGGTCTAACTAAAATAGAGATAGTTACCGTTGAAACAAATATTTAAACAAATTGTGCATTTGTTCTTGCTTTAGAAAATCCGAAATATTGTACATGTTAGACTTTCCAATGGTACCAAGATTGGCCAGATACCTATCAAAAAAATAAAAGGTCTTTCATGAAAAAAATAACTACATGAAGTCTGAATACTCATCTATATGTCCTGTAATTCCCGACACGAAAATGATGAGCAATCGAAGAAGATCACTGACCTCTATATGTATATTTTATTATTACCATATCATTTATCTTCAAAATTGACAAGGAGACATGGATAAGAGTTCCGCCAGAGCTGTTCATATTGATTGGTCTCACATATCGCATCGTGTCTACCCGTTTGAAGTCTCGAAACAATCTTGCCTCCGTGGATTCTATAATAAAGGAAAAGATAGATGGCGAGATACTGAATAAGAAACATTAACAACACGGTTCATGTTAAGCACTATAAAAAATTACAATGAAGACATGTCGATTTAACATTTGTGTTTTGATTTTGAACGACTTAATTGTATGTATAAGATCGTATGTAATGAATGAATAAGATATTACCTATATCATTGTCAATAATGATCTATGGAATTTTAATTCTAAAATTGCAAACAAATCAACAAGCGGATCTATCTTTAAGTGCTAATAAGGGGGATTGGATTATCTTGAAAATATCGTTATCTTGTGTGTTAAAAAATTCTCCATATCGAAACCACTCCTTTATAAAAAGTGTCCGCCATCAGCCATTGTGGTAACACTTACTGGAGTTATTGATTCACTAGACTATATCCTCTAGTCTGGATTTAATTGAAAATTTGAATGAAAATATTTAGACTGACTTCTAGTCAGTCTGTCGGATACAAACTAATTGATTCACCAGAGCGTATAAGTGATTTATATAGCTTATTCTCCTCACCATATGTCTTCCCAGGCTCTTCCACATACAGTCCTAGTGCATTGTAGGGGTCGATTCCATTCGGAAAACCAAGGGGATCACCATTGGTCAAATCTAGGTTTTGTGGAATATCAGCATAACTGACGGAGTTCTGGTTAATAGTGTCCAAAATTGATGACCTATGACCCAGTATTGAAAAGGCATTGACACTAGTTGAGACGTCGACTACATGAGATGAAGGCATCACCAACAAAATCACAAGAAATAATCGTAAAGTCCGCTCCATGTTATATCTAATCACAGGTCACATTTGTGTTATCATCGTTGCTTTTGTAACTTCAAATCTGTATGGTACAATGTGCCCTACTTCAGCTCACCTTTGCAGTCGATTGCATTACTGAAGTTTTAAATTTCCGAGAATATCAGTTTAAGTTTGGCCAATTTGTAAGATTTCTCAATAGGCCCATGTTATCAAGCCTGACTTCCCAAGTAATGGCTAATTTAAAATTATGGGGTCACCTGGATAGGTGCAAGTTTAATCAACTATAAATGTTTTAACTTTTCATACCAATCAGTTTTATATGCAAAACTAATGAGGGAATGAGAACACATTACAAATGTTCATATATTATATATGAAAATAAGTACATGTATATCATATTCATCTCTACTTGAACATTTTGAGTGAATACTCATATTTCCTTCCACGAAAAGAAAACAGAAATTGACAAAATATTCACGGAGTGGGAGCTGTTACTATGACCCCTACTTTTGCCAATTTTTAGAACATTTCGTTTAGTGAACAAGGGACGTATTAATTCAATAAATAATTAATTAAGTATATACTTCAATAAATAATTAATTATAGTTTTGGGGCTTATTATTGTTACGGAAATGACGTCACATTACATTGACGTGTCGCAAAAAGCTCGCGCACGCATTGTTACACATTTTGTGGCGTAATCCAGAGGATCCTCGCTTTTAACATGATAGAATGTGACGTTTTTGAGAAAAATGTACACACATGAAAATCCTTTCGTCCTCCACATTTACCTCTATATCTCAAAACATTTTAGACGAATAACTCTGATATCATATATATATTGTTAATGGGCTAGGAGCATCATAAAACACGAATCAATTGATATTTTAGGTGAAATAAATATACGTGTTGCTGTGCTTGAAAATAGGCGAATGGCGTAAATTAGCCCTATTTTAATGAATTTTGAAAACCTTTCGTCCTCCACTTTCCACATACAACAGAAAACACATACTTTTGTGAACAAAATCAACTATTTATTAATAAACTAAAGTTTAGGAGCAAAATAATCATGTATGATTTATTAAAAATCGATCTCATATTTTTTGTTTAATGTACACCTGAAAAGTTGAAGGTACCAAAAATGAGCAAAAAAGGTCGCTGTCAACAGATTCTATTTTTCAGACTCTATGACGTCACAATATGGGACGCTTACTAAAATTCATCCTTTGGAATAAAACTTCCATCTACCTTTATCAAGACGAAAAAAAAGTATAATAGTCATATATTGTTTGAGTTACCAGTGTTTAAAGACGAAAAATAATTCAAAATGTCACGTGTCAACATGGGATATTTGCCAGATGATTTAGTAAAAAACTATTTTTTAAAAACGAACGCGCAAAAAATGTGAACAGAGTGTAGCTGATCTAAAATCTTCATCGAAACAACTTTAAAATAATATATAACTTTAATTAGAATATTATTTTATAATCCGGGGAATCAAAGTTACATTCACGCGATACCCTTAAAAAACAAATGCGCCACCTTTTTGCGACACGTCATTGGATTTCCACAAGAGCGTGCAATGGGTAACGTAGTTCAACAAGTTAAACCTAGTCTGGACCTTATTTCTTATCTGACATATCTTAATTGTGGCCCGCCCTAGGTTTAACGTCCGTGCCGATTCGACCCTTGATGCAAAAAATGTTAATGATGTCTTATAACAGCGCATGAAATTGCATGCGCGTTTTATTTATAACTGATAGTGAGAATGTGCAGGCAATGAAAGCATGGCACGGAAGTTAAACCCAACCACGGCAACAGTACAAGAACACTCAGATTAATAAATGAAAGCCGTGTTATTGGGTTTAACTTGTTGAACTACGAGTAACGCTATCAAACAACAAGTAGTCGAAATATTCAAACGCTTTGTATCTTTAAGATGACTGAATTTTCAATATAATAATAATCTTTGGTTCTTTGCAGCTTGATCTTTTATAGTGACTCATCATTGCTTATTGCACGTTCTGTTATATTCTAGACATTAATTATACCTGTGGACATTCAATTGTACATTTTAGACAATTGAATGATATTCTGAAAAATAGATCCAGCCACGCTATTTTATGTTGTCATTTTTGTAGCATGAGATTTTTAAATGCCGACACGATTAATCATGATAAAACTTATGCAGTGCTTGTTAAATTGACGGAGTTAAATTTTTCAAATATGCAGCTTCGGGAATTTCAATGACATATAGAAAAAATCTTACTTTCTGTCAAAAAATTGAAAAACATGAAAATTGCTCTTTTAAAAGATGAATTTGCGAAACTTCACCATAATCGTGTATTGACCGATTCACTCTGCACAACCAGTGACACCAAATCACAAACATTTAACCTCTCTCTTATGATCGCACATCTCCTAGTTATTTTATACGTATGTCTGAATTAGAGTATTCTATCCATACGTAGTGTTGTTATATACCAATGATATCCCAAAACAAGTTTTTATCAATGGAACTACTTTCCTCATCAAGAAACAAACAGAGCAAGGATTCATCCAGCCGTAAGCTAATTAGAGTCCATCCTACTCGTGTTTGGTATCACGGCCATTATACAGAGGGTTATACAGAAGGAGGACAATAATTGCTAGTAAACTGTTACACTTATTTTATCATAAACCAACTAAATATTTGTCATACGTCCAAGAGCATTTTTCTTTTCGTATTATGGCAAACTCACAAAATCCAAAATAAGATTTCAAATTATTTCAAAACGTCTTTATTATTGTTTTTCACATCTTTTAAAATTTAACCAACTTCAACATAACGAACATATTTACATGTAAGGTATAAACAGTTTGACAATTCAGTTTCTTAGACTAACATAATGAAGTTTATTTACGACCACCCGTATAGTGTTCGTGAGTTATAATGTATACATCTGGTAAACCATACTCCGTTCTTGTTGACTATACTATATCGACTGGATATTATATCCAATTATCCAATTTCTCTTTATTGGAAACTCCGCTCTCTTTTTTTGGGAATGCCATAATCGTTCATATTAGGAATGCAATTAAAGCGTATGTATGATTTGTTGACACCAGATATGAAGTTGGCTGTACCAATTGAGCAGAAGTAGCTGACAAGTGTTACCAATCACTATCGGACACTTTCTGGCACAAGTGTACATCTCTCATTTTTCCAACATGGTGATGGTAAATTGATAATTACAAAAGAGGATAAAATTACACCGCCCAATATTAGAAAAAAATATAGAAAACCAATAAACCGCGTGACAATTTTGGCAGCGTTATTATAAGTGAGTTTATATTTAGAGCGTGGTTTCTCAAATGTATCGATGTTGGTGTCTGTTATGCCTGGTACTGGTGTCAGCACAGTATTTCCACCGTTTGGAACAGGTAAAGCTGGATAGAGTTGGTCGGATAGGGCTGTCCTTGTTGGCCTCAAGTAGGCTGCATTCCCAGTTATTTCATTTTCTGGCCTGTTTATGGTGTTTGCGTCATAGGTCAGGTTTGTCGTTAGTGTTCCTGGAGTAAACTGGTTTTTACCAGTTATTTCTGGATTAACCCTGCTGATCTCCCTGGTGGGCTCTTCATCGAGGAGATACTTACAGGTGACACGCCCGATACAATCGAAAACACATTTTCTGAGACATATGTTCATTTCTTTTTCATCCCCAAGATGATGCCACACAAGTAGTATTACATTAAATAATATAGATGACGCTGAGAACATGAGCAGAATCATGAGGATGATACCCAATAAAGGCATGCTGCGGGAGTTCTCGGGCATCTTGTCTGCAGTGAACAGCAAGTACACTGTGAACGTTAACAACAAAGACACTGCGAGTCCTATAGTTTCACCAGCTGCTCCTGGTAGAAAGAATGCAAGACAAGTCATTAGAGCGATCACAATAGTCGGCCATATCAAGTGAACGCTATAAAACAAATCCTCACGCTCCAAATACAACGTAAATACGATACAACTGAAACCGTCACTTTCCGTTTCATTCATGATCAAACGAATCATTGATTGGTTCCATGTGCCTACGAGAATCCACAACATACTCAACTCATATTCATCAACAGACATTCCGTTATTTGAGAATAATAGCTCGTTAACGTTCCAGTTCCAACTGCCGATTGTAATGTTGCACGTCTGGAAGTCATACGGGTAGAATGTGACGTCAAGGGTGCAGCTTGTCTCCAGGTGCATCACACGCTTGATGGAGACAGTACCATTGTAGAACACTCGGACCATCTGCTTGGAGATGTCAATATGGGTATAACCAAACCTGAATAAAAGAGAGACTCCCTTGAAAATTTAACAATTTATAAGTTGTGTTTTCACTCAATAACATATGGATCAGAATATCAATCCTCAGTTCCTAACTATATGTATTTTCCAAACCATATGAAACTTTTCAAAATTGATTAAAACGTATGAAAATGTACAACTGCATAAACTTTTAGAAGTGATCGGAACATTTGACTATTCATACCGCTTATAGCCATGACTTTGACTTGTCATACCGCTAATAGCCATGACTCTGAGATCACAGACGTATAGCCATTACTGACATTCGATGCATGCAAATCGTACTTAAAGGGACACGGTTGAACAAACTACAAGCCCACACCAATTGGTAAAACGATAACTCTTACGATACGATGAGTACTGGTCGTATGCAATTGTAATAATGTGAGCGCAGACTCAAAGCATTCTCAATCACTTCGTTCAGGTGTCACAACAGTAAATAAGCCTACCACTTCTGGGTAGTGTAGTGTTTTTGATAATTTAAACACGAAGCATGCAGAATCCGTGAAAGTGTATTATAAACTTAAAGGTGCAATAATTAGTGCAGAGGGGTCATTCAACGATCATGGACCAGTGTCAAAATATATTTAAGTTTGGATATTTCATCAAGACTAACATATATTTTTATTATCTACAAAGAAACCCCCTAGATAAACATTATATTAGCTGATATTCCTCTTGAAACATGGTGGATCTTAAAAATATAAAAGTGGAAGTCCCCTTTTTGAAGCTTTGAACTGAATTTACACTTCTTAATGCTAAAATTGATAATTTATCCATACATTTTTAGAAAATAGGTATGTCAAAGAAGATGTTAAACCAAATGTTGCCTTGATAGCTCAGAAAAAATGAAAAAACTTTCCTATTTTCTCTACAGTCCTTATTGCCCCTTTAAGTGTACCTACAGTGGCCATTTAATGTATTTATGTAAAGTTCAGGGCAACTTTTTTTAGCTTCATTGGTGAAAATTTTCACCAATGAAGCTTGGATTTACCTAATTATGAGTCCCTTTATTGGCGAAGTGGTATTAACAAATCGAGACGTAAAACCTATCCTAAATATAGTGTGAAGATGAATGTTATACAGGGTGGTCCAAAAAAGTGAACCCCTGCAACTAGTCATAATTCCCTTATTACTTGCAGGAATTCTTTTTTATTTTATGTTGTAAAGGAAGGTCTAAAATGTATGTTGGTACCATACATTTTTCTTAGTCTTAAAATTTGCAGAAATTATAAGCCCTAACCAAACATTACTGAAAATGGACTAATTGTGATTTTCAATATCCGTATTTCTTCAACCCTTTAATACCTTTCCCCTGAGAATTTTTAAGCTGCAGTCTTAAAGAACTAATATTTTCTGACTTTGTTCAATTTTACATCCTGCACATTATGCTTTAAAACTAGCATCCTGTATTTGTTAGTTGCAAAGTTATTGTGATCCAAAGAGATGTGCTAAGCTTCCATAGACGAAAACATTTTCCAGTGAAACCATGAACATACCCCTATATGATCTTGAAATGTCAATATCTTCATATATCATGGACCAATTCTAATGATATATGGCTCAAAACATTGAATATTGGATTTTCTTTTGATTTTTTAAAGATATTTGATGAAGGGGTTATCAGATTCCTGGTCACAGGGGGCAACTTCCTTCCATAAGAGGCCCTCCTCTAACTGTTGGTGTAGGTAACATACCCCTGAACTGTTGAACAGTTAAAAATGCTTCAAAATGATCAATGAAAGTGTGAAATGTGTTTTCTGCTTGAATAGTGTCCCTTTTGTCATATGGTAGGGTTTTAAACTTGTATCTCTAACTGAGAGCTGTTTAAGATCATCCAATGTGTTTCAACAATTTCCGTGAATCACATTTGTAAAATTTTGTACAATATCTAATTTCCAGGCATGTTTGTTTAACGCTTTTAATTTCTTAAAAATTTAAGACTGAGAATAAATTATAGCATCATCCAAAATTTTAGACCTTTCTCTACAACATGTGATAATATGGGCTAATTCATGCATGTATTAAGAAAAATGAAGCCTGTTGCAGGGGTTCACTTTTTTTGGACCACCCTGTATTTAGGGAAACGAAGAAATATAGTCATAATATGTCATTCGCTCGAAAATGGCGATATGTACCCGAGAATATTGAATATTTTTCAATGAATTAACAGTCCAATCGTGTATTCAAATACACAAAACGAACTGCTACTAAATCATGACAACGTCCATACATCCAAAAGTTTACCCATTCATGAGTTCAAGCTGAGGCTTAAGTAGAGTAAGATTTAACAAAAAACAAAAATGCAACTGGTAAAACAATAGCTCTTACGAGATCAGTAGTAGTGGTTTGTAAGCACGAGCTAAAATAACATTTCTCATTTCGACCATTTCGTTCAGTACCCTCGTGTTTGCAAAGACACTGAACGAGCTGCTATAAAGTTATGACAACATCAAAATTAGAACACATACAAATATTTACCCATTCATGAGTTCAAGTTCAGGCATCCACAACATTTCAGCAGGTAGATGCATGGCCTGTAAGTCTCCGTATTTTGTCTTGTTCCAACGTAACCGGTAGTCAGACCATTCCTAAAACATGAAAATATAAGGAAGTACACAACTATTTTCCAGAATTTATAAAGAACTAATCTCAAACATATTATCATGATATCATCCCATTGAGTAATGCGTTGAATAAATTCAATATGGCCGCCGAAATGTACTTCTCATTAATTTTGAGATATCTCCAAAGTATGCTTTTAATGACCGTTTTTTTAATATACTTCTGGGACAACCCTCGTATTAAAATTAATTAAGGAATCTGTAAACTTACAACTTTAAGTTGAACTGTTGTTGTCAGTTTCTCGTCTCGATCAACCTAAATAATTGAAAATAAGTACTACATGTAAATTGTCATCGTATTTTAATTTATTTTCTCAATGTGGACTAAATTTATTATCAGCGGAGCCTATTGATGCTACCGGTCACCAGGCCCGTAGCCAGGATTTGCCAAGGGGGGTTCACTTCTTGAAAAATTCCAGGGGGCTCAGTTCACTTTTGACAATTTTGGTTCAAAAATGGCCAATATCACTTTAAAAGTGCTCAGAATGATGAAAAACGGCATGATTTTGAAAGATTTTTTGGCCGGGGCAGGGTTTGCTCGAACCCATCGAACCTCCCTGGCTACGGGCCTGCCGGTCACTTAAACCATAGAAGGCGTGTTATCACGTTCCTTCAGATGCACTGTGTTAATTTGAAGTTCTACATTAATTCATCGGACAGCAATGGATGAATCAAAACCGCCTTTGTTAACTTTGATCCGAAAGTGGTTTTCATGTATCATAATCTGGAAGTTGTACTTGTAATCTTGTAAAATCTTTTTGAAAAATGCAAATTTTTTAGTGACCAAGAAACGTTACAATTTTAAAAGTCAATAAATAAAATACATGTACTTTAGTAGCAGATTAGTCATGTTTTGATTTTTACACAAAGAAAGTTTGCCTCAAATCAACCTCATGGTAAAAATACAGAACAGTTGGTGAAGTTTGGGCAGCAAAGGAAAACTATCCTTTTAGAGAAATTGTGCATACACTCTCATACCCTACAGCCCTAATAAAACGAGGCTTTAAGTGGAATTAAGATACAACATTTCAAATCCATCAAGCTCTCCCATGCGAGCCATGAATGATGTAAGAATAGAGAACTCTAGCATCTTCAAATTTTCTTACCATATCATTTATTTTCAGAAGCGACAATGAGACGTTAATTCGTGTTCCGCCAGTGCTGTTCATAATGATTGGTCTCACGTATCGCATTGTGTCAATCCGTTTGAAGTCTCGAAACAATCTTTCCTCCATGGATTCTATAATAAACGAAAAGGGGCGTATTTTGAAATTTGGAATGTTAATATTCAGACTTTAACCCACAAATGTCGAAATTTGGGATCGAAAAATATTTGTTTACATAGAAAGTGCCATTCAAAATGGCAGATGGAGAAAATTAATATGCATATCTGTAAATTTCCCTAGCTTTATTTTCAACAATATGCTCTGTTACTTTTAATAGCATTACATTGTAACTTACTCCTAAGTTGAATTGTTCTAATTTTTATTTTTGTGAAGTAAAACTTAATTTAATTGACATTTTTTTCAAAAAATGTCTCTGCAATTCAAACAGGATGGAACATAATTAAGGTTGACAGACTGACTTTTAGTATGTGTCTGGCAAATTATGCAGGGATATATAGACCGAGGCGGAAATTATGAAAGCCTATAAAACCTGGAAAAGAAAAAAATATTAAAAAATATGTATTTTTGTACATTTAACACTGTGGTCATTTGATTGCTTGTTCTTTAATATGATTACAGCATGGGCAACACAGCTCTTCAAGAGATAAGACTGAAGGTGAGAAGGACACGGGAGTAATGATTACCAAGGATTTGAAAAGTAGCACACATGTACAGACGGTAGTCAAAAAAGCAAATTCTGGGATTAATAAGAAGGACCTTCCAGATATTAGATTCCTCCAATATGTTGCTACTTTACAAGGCAATGGTACAACACCATCTGGAATACGCAAACACAGTTTTGTCTCCATATTTAGTCCAGGACATTGAAGCAGTTGAAGCCGTACAGAGAAGAGCCACACGATGTATACCAAGCCTGAAAGATAAGGATTATCCCCAAAGACTGAAAGAGTTGAAATTACCAGCACTTATATTTAGACGTCTCAGAGGCGATATGAACGAAACATTGAAAATCTTGAATGGAAAGTATGATATGCCAATTATCCTTCCCCTCTACCAGAACATTGGTAGAGCTCGTGGCAATAATGAGAGTTTTAAAGAAACAAAATAATACAATACTGAGACAGTGGTTTTTCACCCAGAGAATAGTAAACAGCTTGAATCCCCTTCCCCAAGAAGTTGTAGACGCCCAAGACATCAATCTCTTCAAGAACAGACTGGAAAAACTATGGAAGGACCACCCTACAAGATACAACTTCAGAGCTTTGAGGTAGCCACCGGATCCAGTCAACCCTCAATTGAGTCACATGGTTTTTTCAAATTTGAATCATTCCAACCCCACAATGTCTACATCTCTCACCGTTGAACAACGACTACACTAACCGGACCTAGAAAAGAATGTGAAGTAGAATGTTTTGTTAATGGTATAAAAACAAGAAAATCCAATGAAAAATTTGAGAAAATTTTCAGAACACAAATCTTCTCACGAGTCCTTTTTAGGCACATAAGTGCACTCTTTGTGCAAAGCTGGAGGATGTGGACAATGTGGGGAAGGGGTAATTCCTGTTTGAAAAATAATATGTGAATCAATTGAGGAATGCAAAAAATTCCGAACATGCACCCTGGCCTTAAGTTAAACTATATCCTCTAGTCTGAATTTTTTTTGAAATTTGGAATGAAAATATTTTCAGGAAATTCAGTCTATTGGATGTAGACTAGGCCTTAAGTTGAAATTCCATTTCCAAAAAAACATTTTTCATATTTTTTTTGAAAGTACGGAAATATTTACTGGTTTCCTTACCATATTTCATTCCAGGATCCCCCTCATATATTCCAAGTGCATTATATAGTTCACTTCCATTTGAAAGGATATTCGAAAGCGGATCCCATGTAGTCAAATCACGACGATCAGCATGGACGGAATTCTGATCGCTAGGCACTTTGTTTGATGTTAAGATTCTCTGACTCGGTCTAATTGTCGCTGCGGCGGCGTTGGTGGCGTTGATCAAATGAGATGGTATGAGGATGTTCTCCATTATCACCAATAAAATCTGAAATAAACGTAATGTACGCTCCATATTTACATTCGATCATCACACTCTAGATCTTTCCCAACAAGGCAAACAGAGCCCTTACCCATCTTAATACAACGAAGTAAGAGCGATTGAGCTAATATTGACTCATTCCGAGAAATTCAGCTTAAATTTTGTATACATGTTCTGTATGTTTACTCAGTAGGAAAACATCAAAAAACGCTTTCTCGTGAAACTAATGGCTAATTATCCTAAAGAACGAAATTCGGTAGGGATATAATGAAGCCCTCCCTCCGTTAGTCAATCAGTCACTCAGTCCGTCCATCAGTCCGTTTGTCCGAAAGATAACTCGAATACTAGTTGACGGATTTGCTCCATATTTATTGGAAAGATGTATATTTGTGAGTAGTATTACACGCTATAATTTCCAGAGCTTAATAATAAATATTCAAGCTATACATCATGCAAATTTTGTCTTGATCTGATCATTCCTGGTATCTTTAGGGCAAAAGAATTTCGTAAATATTGTAGAAAGGATTGAAAAGAACGACTCCCAAAATCTTGAGTGTGACTTTTTACCATAGATTGACGTTATAGATTTGTGAAATCCTATAGCCAGCAATACGCTCAAGAAAGGGATCTTCTGAGACATGAAATTAAATTTTTAGTAACGTTTAGAGGAATACACCATTTTAAAAAGATTTCAATCCAATAACAATTGTAAAAAATATCAGTAATACATTGAAAATCTAGTTAATTACAACTATATTGTGATGAAAAGGGTTATATTCTTCATATTCAGAGGTCTCCTCTCAGTTCAAAATTAGGGGTAACATATATTACGATAAGCTAGAAATTATAAAATAATTATAACACTTAATCTTTCTCAATGACCCATTAATATGTTCTATAGCCTATACTTAGTTTATGGATACCCAAAAATGTCATATATATGATGTCCTAAAAATGACACACTTTTTGCAAAATATTTCCTCGGCAACTGATAAACCAAATTCCCTGAAAAGTACAAATTAGCCTAAGAGTAGCATCAGCAAGTTGTAAAAATATAACAAAGATCAATTAAATATTCTATGAGAACAAAGAAATTCAAAATAGCATGTCAAAAATCCCCATACCGGAGCTCTGCGATGAGACCTCTATAGTGTTTGTACCAGCTATCAGGTGATAGCATTTGATAATCAGTCAAAATACCTTGTCTGTGTGTCGTGTCTACTTAATTCATTTCATTCTTCCCAAATATCTCAAATCCATCCATTCTCAAAATTCATTGGAGGTGATATTTTAGAATAAATGCGGAAAGGGTATTTTGCTTGATTTAATGAAAAAAGTCACATTAGTGAGTCTGTGAGACAATGGTTACACAAATATTTAGGCCACCTGATATTGCTGCGTTATTTATTATGTAATGCTTAATGTTGTACATGATACATTTCTTGGTATCTCTAGTCATAACTAGCATGCTTAAACCCTAATGCGAACAACCCCCCCTGCAACTTAATTCAATTTAATCACATATTCAATCATCATGTTTAGAAATATTACTAATAATAGGTGGTACCACAAGTAATGCTAATACCCTGCTTATAATATTTTTTCAACACGCGGCCAGTCACATATTTTAAAATGACTAATTTTATACGTTGGTGGTCATTTTGTAGAAAATTAACAGAAAATATGCTTGAGAACTAGTATTACTTTAAACACAGGATAATAAATAAAATATATTTATTTGTTAACAGTCGTTTGGTATGTGTATAATGTGTTGTCTTTACAGTTAAACATTACGTTTATAATAATAATAGCCTTGTTAATAGAAAATTTGCAATAATATTTTCATGTTTGTGCGTCATACTGCTTTGTCAATGACAAAGTCGTGATGGAAAATGAGCTAATTGCGCAGTACATATACCTTACTGGATACTTGCACCATGGTACGATCGCCTTTTAAAGCGTAAAATGATAAAGCAACTAAATTACATTTATTATGCGGTCCTTTTGTAAATTCAATGACACAGTGGTAGTGGGTAACTGTTACAGTCAGAAGGGGCTAGAAGCTTCAAATAAAAAGCATTTTAAAGCTCTTTTCTTGTTCTTTCTAATGGTTTTATTTTCATTGGTTATGGGGGGGGGGCGGGAGGATGCGGTCGCATCAATTGCACCCCGATTGCTACGCCAATGTAAAGTAAGGTTGTTTTGAATCGTTGGTATTTATGTAGATTACACTCGCTTCGATAAGTTTGGGGGTAGCCATGGGGGTTTTGAAATGCCTGTAACCTATTTTAGATTTGTGAGTTGAACCATGATACTTGGCAAAACAATGTTACTTTGGATAATACGTTTTAAATGATATATGACACATACTATGTAGACAAATGTATGTGTCTGCCTAGGGGGAGGGGGCATACTTTCGGGACACCCTGTATATAAAGGGTGTCAAATAAGTCCCGTCCCCCTGCTACAGCTAGAACCTCAATAGATGGTGCCTAATGTTATATACCATTGAAAAGATCATCCCAAGTTATGTTAACTCACCAAGTCTCAAGTATTTTTGATGAAATTCACCTATATTTTCATGATGTCTTTAGTTAGCGTAACCTCCTTTAAGCAGCTTTTTTGCGTCAAAATGAGAAGGATTTGACCTTAGAAATATGTCAAAAAGCTAATACTTTTCACATTCCACTTGTAACAAAAAGGTTTTCACCACTTTCCTTGCTCCCTTATTTTCTACACATCTACCCCTATCCAGGAATTGGTTAAATTCATTGCCATATACATATGTAGTCATATTTAGGTCCTTTGACTCTTCCTATACCTGATTCTTAAAATCCTGTTATGTTAAATACGCCAAATTGCCATATTTCTAGGCCTATGGTCACCTCAGTTGATACAATGTAAAATTTGTGAGATTGATTGACATGTGTCAGATATATGCTAATCAACGTAACTTTGGAAGACCTTTCTAATGATATATATCACACTTGGTACCATATATCTTGGTTTTGGCTGTAGAGGGGCGGGGGGGACGGGACTTATTTGAAAGTATGCCCCCTCCCCCTAGGCAGACACATACATGTGTCTACATAGTATGTGTCATATATCATTTAAAACTTATCCAAAGTAACATTGATTTGCCATTTGTACATGTATATGGGGATCCAAGTTCCCGTATTTGTTAGAAAAATGCAATAATTCATGTTTTTTCAATTTCAATTCAATTCATTTATTTCATATTTCTAATATAGTAAACACTATAAAAACAATCCGCTAGACGCCCTAGTGGGTATATGTTGCGGTTTGACAGAAATGTTTAAAATGACATCTAGACTACATAAAAAGAAAGTACTTATACTATGTTACATGTAGGTATATAAAAATGGTATTAACAATTAATTTTAGGACGTACAATGTTGAAATGTTACAAAAAATCAGGTGCCAGTATAAATTCAACAATACAGTATAATAATGGTATTGTACATTATTGATAGATGAGCAGTTTTTTATATGAAGCTTTGAAATATCTATATTTCTATGTTCTCCCAGGTATTATGTTTTAACACCCAATCAAGCGTATGCAGATAAACAAATTGAGAGGTAATAGCGACACTATGGTATAGCAATTCAACAATACATTGCAATGATTTAACAACTCTAGATGTGACTAGGAATATGTTTAAATTGAATTAATCTTCTGTTAAGATACACAACAAATTGATACATCCTTTATATAACCATATTATATTCGCGGGAGTAATTACAATTGCACATTTTATACGTCAATGCAACTTTATGAGCTGAAACATACATCCATTTTGACGTTGAGAACACTTAGCCGCACCACATACTCAAAGAACTACGAGTAAGACTAAGTCGTAGTAAGCCAAATAGAACCGAAGAAGGATGAGGCTTGACAGCTTAACAGGACTCTTGGCAGTATTTATAGCTGTCTTTGTAGATGGTAAGTTAAAAGACAGCCTTCGCTATAAGTTTTCAGTCTAAACTTATACTGCAACTTTAACCTTTAAACGGATTAACACAACTGGGGAATAAGGTTTCTCAAATAAACCAGTAAAGTACATTTCATAAAAAATCGTCGTTTCCTGATCGAGCGAATTGATTTGGGAATATCCCAGCAATGGCCGAACTAATTTCTAGAATCCAAGAAATACATACTTGCTGAATATTTTGTTGTGATTTGAGTTTCTTCCCAGTGCTATACCTGACTCGTAAGTACAGGTTTTGTGTATACGTATTCCAAAAAAACTTAAATCGAAACCTCGCTAATATTACCACATAAACTGTATAAACTGATATGAATTTATAATTAATTTCTCGAAGCATTCTTGAAACTTCATTTTGTTCACCACGATCTTTCAGACACATTTGCGGCCTTATATATTAACATATTGAAAGCATTTTGGAATATTTGGGTAAAACTGTATTTTTTCACCACGATCTTTCAGACACATCTGCGGCCTTATATATTAACATATTGAAAGCATTTTTGAATATTTGGGTAAAGCTTTATTTGTTCACCACGATCTTTCAGACACATTTGCGGCCTTATATATTAACATATTGAAAGCATTTTGGAATATTTGGGTAAAACTGTATTTTTTCACCACGATCTTTCAGACACATCTGCGGCCTTATATATTAACATATTGAAAGCATTTTTGAATATGTGGGAAAAGCTGTATTTTTCCACTTCGATCATTTAGACACATATGCTGCCTTGTCATGTTGCCAAGCAAAAAGGCAAGACTTGAAGAATATGACATTAATGGTATCTACAATGGATTCAAGCCTAACAAACAAAGTGTCGACTTTGACAAACAAAGTTTTCTCTGACAAACGATATGCCAACACTAACAAACATTGTGTCTTCCCTTTCGGATGCTGTTTCTACCATCAAGATGAAGCTATCAAACTTGAAAACCGATGTCAATCTTGACAATGGTCGTATAAAACGCGATTTAACAACAATTATAAAGATACTTAGTAAGTATTGACTATGATAATTTATACTAAGCAAAATTATGTAAAGATTGGATAATTAAGTCGATGTTGGATCACTAATATAGCAAGACATATTCATTACGTTTCGAATCAATGCACCTTGACCAGGATCTTGAATCAAAATAATTACGCATTTTTATAAAGGCGGTATATTGTTGGCAGTTTACACACGTTTAACATTAAATTTAATTAATTTTGACCTACGCTTTTATAACGATGTTTGACAACGTTTGATTCGGTTTACTTCGGATGATTTTAATGACCACAAAATATTTTTTGATCCACTTGTTTTGCCGAAGGTTCCGTGATTTTAATTCCAGTTTACTTAACCGATACTGTAATGTCGATGTTTCAACCATATTTGTTTGGATCATTTTGAATTCTCCATCAGAAAATTTTGATCTACCTTATCTATTCTCTGACTTGCAACGCATGTGCTTGTGCTATACGCGTGTTTCGCGTTTTGAACTGGAAATTTAGAATTTCGCGTTTTGTTTTGTGTCAACGGGAATAATTATACCCAAGTTTGTCGGATACTATGCTGGCAATTTGATTTCGATGCGAAGTGGAATGTTCCTGAAGAAGATGATGTACACAGTGTATGTCATGCATGTTTTAGCTCCAAGTATCAAAAACAATACAAACATAAAACAAGCTATAGAACTAACAATAATATCTTATATGCTGCCTACGTTATACGTTATATATTTTGTTTTAGATTTTAACTTCCCTAATAATTCAATTTTACACGTACAGATATAGACGCGTGTAATGCAAGTCCATGTCAGAACGAGGGCATTTGTAGTGACAAAGTAAATGGCTATACGTGTAATTGCAAGGTTGGATATTCAGGAATCAATTGTCAGACAGGTATGTAGATATACACCCTATAGGAAATGATAGGGTCAAATCTAGGGAATCGAGATAGGAAAAGACGATCCTACCAAAAATAAACACGGCAGACTACTCGGTGCTCTGATCCGGTGTAAAAGAAATTATGGTCCCCTGGGGATTATGGTCCCCTTTCCTTACGGCCCTTACCGGCCCTGACTGTGTATAAATAATAAGGAAAATAATTTTAATTAGGTCACCATATAAATCAATAGAGAGTAGGACCAAAATTTGATAGGACCACCTACCCTTTTACACCGGCCTAGACATTTCCATGATTCCGGCATATTTTATCTTATGAAGATTCATACCAAAAAATGAAATTAATGCGAATTGAAGGGATGATCACCTATATATGGTAAATCCCAAAATATCGTATCATTCTTATACTGTAGATGAAGATTACGGTTCTTTAGGAAATGTCGCGGTCTTATGAATTGCAAGATGTATCGAAAAGACGCGAAAAGGATATATCCAGTTAATTTTTCATTGTCGAGAGTAAAATTATAGGCTTCGCATCAAATTGAAATGACTTTCGATGCTGTTACAACACATAAAATAAAGAAACATATAAATCGGTTATATGCATCATTGATCAAGAATTACCGACATTTTTGAAATATTTATAGCGGGAGAATAATAAGATGTTGACTTTTATTCCTGCGCGTTCGATTTTAACTGAAAACACATGAACCGAGTATTTTAGGATATACCACTTACAAACAATACATAATTTTACTCATGCGCGTTCAATTTAACTGAAAACACATGAACCGAGTATTTTAGGATATACCACTTACAAACAATACATAATTCCATATAATTCTCTCTATGTCTATAAAAGTTATGTCGCTAATATCTGTTTTATCATTCATTTATTGTGCACATAAAATTCAGATGGCTGAGTCTCCTTAGAAAGGTTATAAAGATATGAATATTATATAACACGATTTCATATCTAATTATAGGATTCTAACTTAAATCTAAATCTGTATTTGTATATTTGTTTTTATTGCAGTCGCTGTTGGAGAACTAAAAGACGAACCAATTGTTACAAGAAGGTGGCTGCACTCAACCTACATTCGTGACCTTGCAGTAACATCAAGAGGGCATATTGTGGTAACGAGTGGTAAAGGCTCAACAGCACAAATATATGACAGTGATTTTAAACCCATCAAGGATATCGGTAAAAGATTCTATCATGTTGCACTTACTAATGATGAACAACTCGTGTTTACTGACTGGACAAACACTATCTACTTTTATACAGTAAGTGGTAGACACATACGCAGCATAACCGTTAAAGGATCTTCAACCGTACTACTTGGCATTACTTCACTATCTACCGGACAATTGGTTGTATGCTATGGAAAAGAAAAGAGAGTATTCATTGTGGATCCCTCTAGTGGGGATTCCACACCATTCTCTGCACCTGGTACGGTTATTGACCCTTACTATGTGACAACTAATTCCAAAGGAGTCATTATAGTTAGTGATTTCGATGGTCATGCGATAAAAGGGCTGGATCAAGCTGGCAATGTTGTATTTAGTTACGGTTCAAGTGAAGAGCAGTTAAGTCTTCCAAATGGTGTCTACACGGATTCAAAGGATTTTATACTGGTCGCAGACAGAAATAACGATAGAATACAACTGCTCACACCTGAGGGTAACTTCCACAGTCATATTCTCACGGAGATGGACGGTGTGGACCTCCCAATGGCTTTACGTATCAACAATGCAGGCCAATTACTGGTTGGTGATCGCAGTGGGCAATTATTCATTATCACATACAGGAATAAGGTGAATATAACACGTTGAATTTTATGAGAATAACTATATTATATTGATTTCAGTGTGTACAGATCTCAATCAAAAGCAAAAACCTTTATATGTAATACTTTTCTATTAAACATATTTATTTGTTTTTAATCTGTTTTAACATCATAGGTTGTATCACTGTTTATACTCGTATAATAAATGATACAAAACGATAATGAATAACAAAGAAACGCAACGTATGGATGTATTTTATGATTATGTTTAGGGGTGAATTTAAAATCGAAGATTGTTGAGGATTTTTTAGGATTGCAGGAATTTTACTAGGTGCCATTTTTTATTTTCTTCTTTGTTTTCTTTCTTTGTTGTGTATAATTCTATGCTTTGTCCTTGTTTCAGATATCTCCTGAAGTGGTCTAGTTTCGGCATTTGGTTATCTAGCTTGCAAGTTGCAATAGTACACGTAGTGTTAAGAAGCAGTAAAGCCAAATTTTCTTCCGTGTTCTGTAAAGAGTATCATATCCTAATATAAATATTCTTGCCATTGGAGGGGTTTTGCCTATTAATTGATAACATAGTCGGTTTAAAGTGCCCGATAAACTATAAAATGCGCATGCGTCCAGGTGTTGATAAACTATAAATAGCGAAAATCCAGGGTTTGTCACCACAAGGTAAGCCAGGACGTGTTGAGAGAACAGCTAGTGTTGATATTGAATTTATATGTAGCCAGATAAGTTTCCTTATTGAAATTACATATGGTTATTAGCAATACTTTGTAGGTGCTAAATAATAAAATATTTAGAGTATATATGAGATAAATTGGTCATTTCGAACCTGTTGAAAAGTTTGTGGCTCTCGGCTACACCGGGGAATTTACTTCCATGAGTACCCACATAAATGTGGGGTTCCCCAAGAGGTACGCGACAAGGTGACCTGGCATCAAATGTGCGACTAAATGCTACTATCGAGAAGATAAAATAACGAATACGACAATAAGTAATTGCATGTGACAATTCCGAGCCTTCATCTCACTGAAGTATTTTGAAGTGAAAATAGGATTTTTGTTTTGATACATGGATTCAGATGAACGTAACTTTATTCTGACAACTAATCAAAACTGAACAAAATTGATTGTACGTAACAGACAATTTATTGTTTTACAATGTTTTGATTGGCTAAACGAATGAAACCAACAAATTATGACATGTAAAATGACAATTTTGAAATGTAAAATTTAAAAGTGACAAACACAACCTCCCTATCCACTCTTTGGGAGCCCTAGTAAATTAGTAATACGTACATGCAGCAGTGGTAGTGTACAGCTTATTATCACACTACGCTTTGTATTCTAAAGCCTGTTGTTTGTAATAACACTGTTCACTCAACGTATGTTTTTTGTGTGGGCAGTCAACGATAATCATTGTTTCATCCCGGTTATATGACCTCGGCAATTATAACAAAACCGTACTAAACGAAAAAACGCAAATAAGAGAAAGCTTTCACACACATATAAAAAATGAACTAGTCTAATCCGCCAGTATAAACTCTGTGCTATACGTAGCCGGGTCAGGCGCACACTTTAAAGCAATACTTTACAATGCGTTGTAAAATGACAGAAATCAATATCACGAATCAACCGTGTCCGGCAGAATATTCCACGCTCGAGAATATTATCAATGGTCGGTATAAGGATACATGAAGGCAGTTTACCAATCAAAATGGAGAATGAAAAATCAGTGTGAGTGTAGCCTAACAGTTGATGAATATGATAAATATCCTGGTATTGACTAATATCTAAAAGTAAACATTTTTCATTTTCTCAAGAAAGGTATTGGAAAGGGCACAATTAATTTCAAAGTAATTGATGAATATTTTAATATAGATTAACATAAACATTTTAGAAATATCTATCTTTTGACATTGAGTTTCAGTTCAACTCTGGGTAATCCTGAGTATGAGCAACATCACTGGCACTTTGATTTTGCATCAAACTATATAAAAATATGTTCATGGTATGAAACATGAAAGTATTGTCGTAAACACATGTACACGTCCTCTCATTACAGGGCTTCGAGATCCAGAATATCTTCTTTCTCTTTCCCCCTGTCATAAGCAGTTAGCATTTCATCGATTAATAACTCGCAATCTGATTCAGAAGTACTCGAAGGAAAAAAACGCTTTTACAAACTGGCTTCTTACGTACTACAGAAGCCGGCTTTTGGAGTCACCAAGAGGCGGGTTTTTAAAAGCCGGCTTCTTTAGTACTACAGAAGCCGGCTCCTAGAGTCACCAAGAAGCCGGCTTTTTAAAACTGGCTTCTTACTTACTGACGTAAAACGGAAGCTGACTTTTAAATATTGTTTATATGGATATATTTATGCATGATATTTTGGGAATAATTTTTCAGAAAATGTGCCCAATAAATTGCTCTAAATGATACAATCTTTGAAATTTTAGAAAATTGTCTGAAACAAAAATGGCGATTATAAAAAAGAAGATAGATCACTATTCAATTCATTTTTTCATTTTTTTCTTTTTCTATGAATGATATCAAATTTTTAAATATTGTATTAGTTAGAGCAATAAATTGGGCACATTTTCTGAAAAATTCAAAAGATTCTGTTCGGTGACCTTTCCTAAGCGCCCATTTTTATCTATTTTTCAGTAACATTTTCAGAGCAAACAGAACTCTGAAATCTTGGTTCAAAAAATGTTTGAAATCCAGCATGGTTTTGACACTTCCTGTTTTGTCATTTTCTGTTCAGTACCACAGCATCTTAAGCCGATCTTAAAAACATGTGAATACTGACACTTTAAATCATATAAAAGCAAAGACAAATGTTTTAATTGGTTAATTTGTCCCAATCAGGCCAAGCCAATGCTTTCATGCGATCACAGAATGCCACCAGATTCTTGCACTCATTTTCAACCATAATCTTATGTGGCATTGTTGGTAAAGGAAGGTAGACAATCTGGCAGAGGTGAGAAAACAAAACACAGTCAACCTGAAAAATATAAATGAAAAATATATAAAAAATCACAATCGGCATAATAAGAAATACATGTTGAATGTGAGATACTGCATTTTAGACAATGAATTCAGAGTCAAAGTTTTGGCCGACATAAAGATGGCAGCAGCTGTATAATTCTTTTGATCCGAAATTATTTCTACCACCCTCTCGCCGATAGCTGTACGTGCATATTACATCTGGTCTTAATCCCGAACAATGATAGGAGTCTATTCCAGAGGGAACTAGTTTTTTTATAATTGACCATGCATGACATCTCATTTCCTCAGCCATGTGATGTTTCTATGTTTCTGGTGTAACAGAATGATGTCAGTTATGCGAATCAGAGTATGATAAAATATGAAAAAGATAAATACTGTCAGTGTTATATGCTGGTAATCATTTATGCAGATTAAGATGCCAAATGTAGAGCAATTTTTATTTGAAAACAGAGGTAATCAGTAATAATTCTAGGGGGTATCCCAACGATATTTCTAAGACGGGTGCACCTTCATCTAAAAATAAATCAGCATGGCTTTCACTAGAAGCCTTGCTTCTCCACCTCTTTCAGCAGAGCACCTACTTCTTCTTTTCTCCTTCTCAGCACCATAAACGAAATCTCCAAAGATTGATTTAAAAAGGGACGTGTTCGGAAAACACACACGCCTCCCTTCAGACGCCCGTGTATCTTATTATATATACTCCGTTCCTGTCGAACTTGTAATAATAAAACCATTGCTTATGCTAGTGACTTACAATGCTGGCTTTATCTCCAAACATGAATGGTTTTTCTCCAAGATACACAGATAGACCTTTTAAGTCATCCATGCCTATTTTGTATATCTCTTCTTTTGGCTTTCTCCCTACTCCTTGGCAGTCGGTAATTTCGAGTATCTGTAAAATTAGAATAAGTACAATTTATATAAAAGCTCTCAATCTCAGAAGAATCACCACTTTACAGGCCCGTAGCCTGGATTTGCCTAGGGGGTTAACTTTTTGGAAAATTCCAGGGGGGGTTACTTTTGACAATTTGGGTCCTAAAAGGGCCAAAATCACTTAAAAAGTGCTTTGAATGGTGAAAAACTGCATGATTTTGAAATGATTTTTGGCCGGGGGGGGGGGATCGCCCGAACCATGCGAACCCCCCCCCCCCTGGCTACGGGCCTGCTTTACATTGTACATACATTCCTGAAACTTTTGCTAACACTCACAAATCATTACAAACTCACAGGCCCGTAGCAAGGGGGAGTTGGGGGAGCGGAAGCTCCACCCCTCGCCATTCTGAGCACGCTTTATATAATTTTTAGCCAAAATTGTAAAAAAACTCCTCCTGGAAAAAGTCCCCCCCCCCTCTTGGTTAAAGCTGGCTATACGAAAAAGCCTCGTTTGATTATCTTCGTTCTAGAAATTCATTAAAAAGACTATGATTGATATAACTTTTTTTATCCGATGGATACTAAATATATATGGGGATAACAACACAAGATAATATTGGTATGCTTCATATGACGTGATATCCAATCTTTTCCTACACTTAGTGTACTAAATGTATAATGACATTAAAAAATAAATTTGATATTTGAGCCAGGCCACAGGAAATGGGTCTTATCACAGATTTGATCAATATTTTGATTTTTTGTTTATGTTAAAATGCACAAAGAGACCTTTCAAATGAGCCATGGCTTATGTCTTAACAATTTTTCCTTGCATATATATAGACCAAAACGTCTGATTTGAATTTAGCACATTTTCCTCTTAATCTTGGGCACATTTTTGGCTCTGTAGCACAATTTTAATTTTTGTGATAAGACCGGTTTTCCTATGGCCAGGCTCATTTATTGGCAAAATGAATAACCGGAGGATATCGTGATGATGTACTCCGGGCGGAGGATATCGTGACGATATACTCCGGAAAACCCAATATGCGGAGGATATTGTGACGATATACTCCGCTTGTTGATTTCCCGCCAAATTGACTCTATTTGGCATGAAATTCATTCTGCAATGATATTACACATTTAGTTCAATCCTTGTAAGTGTAGGATAATAAGAACATCCTATGATTTTAATAAGTATCCGACGGATTCTATTTTTTAAAAAAATGTTGAAAAAATTGAAAAAACTTTTTTGAAAATTAATTCGGAAAAATTATCAAATAAAAATCTAAAATTATGAAAAAAAAATTTTGAAAAGAAATTTTGAAAAGAAATTTGAAAACAACAAAATTGAAAAGAAGTTGTAATAACCACTTGTCTGTTTGAAAATAATGTTCCATGGTTATGTCCTCTGTAAAAATGAGTTACATTTTTCATGCAATTATTTAATGAAAATAAGGTCACAGAAAATAAAATGAATAGGAAATAATTAGAAAACAACAACTTTTAGGTCTAATTATTTGAAGACCATATAAAAAAGCGACAATCGGATAAATATGATATCCTATGATTTTCTCGGCTATCATTTTTATCCACTCTTGGATATCGCCGATCTCCACTCATTCGCTGCGCTCGCTCGTAGAGATGAGCGATATCTACTCATGGATAAAAATTGTATCTCTCAAAAATTTCCGAGACACTTTGATTAATCAAACCCCTTACGCCTGCCTATAGCACCACCCTGTATTTTAAATAAAGGAACACGTCGAAATTTATTATCTAGTTTTATTTCGAATTATTCTATTTCGTAAAAATAAACCTCTACTGTTGAGCGGTAAATTCTTACTTTTTTTCGCCCAGCATCGATCATTTTAGACATTTTCTCTGGATCATCTGGACTAATCCCGTATAATTCAGGTGTGTCCATGATACCAGCAGTGAAAAAAACCTCTGGTTGGTCAACATAGCGCCAATAACCGTATGTCCTACAAAGAAGGTATGGCAATTATTCTAATGCCTAGAATAGAATTGTATGTTCACCAAAAATATTTTTATATTGAGAAATGAATTGTCTAGCCCTTTTGTTCGCTAAGTGTGAAGTTTACCTTGTGAAATTAACTTACTTCAAAGTCATTTTGAAAATAATTTTTCACCTCTTGTACTCTTGCAATGGGAGAGGTTTCTTGAAAAATGATTTTGACCTTGGAGGCATATTACTTTGTTGAACCTGGAGAAACATATCCTGTTTCGTTAAATAAGGTTAGCCAATTCAATGTTCTACCTAACTTGTATTTTTGCGAGAACTCGAATAGATAGACAAGTTGTCATATTACTATATTACTTCCTGCAAACTTACCATTCCCATTGGTTTACATGGGAATGTCAATTTTCAAACCTTCATCGGATTTGTCATCAATTTTCGACCTTTTGTAACTGTTGCAAAAATTGAGAAAAATACAATGTATTCGAAATTATGTCAATTCATATTTCAAACCCTAAAAATAGTTTTTACAGATTATCCAAATAAAAATTAAAGCATAAAGTGGCTTTAACAGTTAATCCAATTGGGGAGTTAGGATTGTCAAACTTATGGAGGGGAGTGTATAACTTACCAACTTGTGAATTCATTCATCATTCTCTGAAATGAATGTGAGATGACCTTCTCTACTGGACATATATCTAATAACTTACCACCTCGTGAATTCATTCAGCATTCTCTGAAATGCATGGGAAATGACCTTCTCTACTTGGCATATACATGTATCTTACAACTTACCACCTCGTGAATTCATTCATCATTCTCTGAAATGCATGGGAGATGACCTTCTCTACTTGGCATATATCTTACAACTTACCACCTCGTGAATTCATTCATCATTCTCTGAAATGCATGGGAAATGACCTTCTCTACTTGGCATATATCTTACAACTTACCACCTCGTGAATTCATTCATCATTCTCTGAAATGCATGGGAGATGACCTTCTCTACTTGGCATATATCTTACAACTTACCACCTCGTGAATTCATTCATCATTCTCTGAAATGCATGGGAAATGACCTTCTCTACTTGGCATATATCTTACAACTTACCACCTCGTGAATTCATTCATCATTCTCTGAAATGCATGGGAGATGACCTTCTCTACTTGGCATATATCTTACAACTTACCACCTCGTGAATTCATTCATCATTCTCTGAAATGCATGGGAGATGACCTTCTCCACTTGGCATATATCTGACAACTTACCACCTTGTGAATTCATTCATCATTCTCTGAAATGCATGGGAGATGACCTTCTCTACTGGGCTCAATCCACTGTCAAGGTCAACATCAAATAGCTCACTGAGATGGCTGAAAAATTACCAATATCAAGTGGTAATACATATTCTTAAACCAGTCTATTCATTTAGCCACTTTTTCGGCATATACCTTAATAGACCAACAAGATGATGGCATTATGCAATAATAATCATACCGAAGTACTGTGGAATAGGGATGTTTTTTTGTTTTTTTTACTGAAACAAACCTTTTCTTTTATTTCAAACATGTAGTGATGTTGTGTTATGCTCAACTGGAGGAAGTTATTAAAATTTTGTCAATTCCTTTAATACCATAGTAGGCAAGCTGGAATTCACAGAGCGGATACATTTTATTAAGCATATGTTAGGCTTAACCCTAACCTCATAATTTTTCTCGAGTCATTCACTTGTACTCCGTTAACAATGACGAACGGCAGTTGTCCAGTTTCCTTGTTGACAGTGTATTCTTTTACGAATTCAACCTAAATAAAAATGTGAACAGTGAACGGAATTAAATGTCATATTCGATGGATTTTTAAAAACGTACATGGAACAAATATATTATGTCATACTCCCCAGGTAGATGAATACATTGTACAAAGTGAGTGTATATGCTTCCTCACTAATCAATGAGAATATGTTACAGAACGGTCGATTAACAAGCTGTCGATATCACTGCGACGTCGCAGTCATTGCGACCATCGTGCGACGTCGCAGTGGACACCATGAGGCTAACACGTTTCACTTGCAGAAAATGGCATACTCACCTGTGGTATATGACATATTCCGCAAGTGAGTATACAAATCGACCATTTCAGTATATGATATATTCCAAGTAAAGCTGTGACATGCTTGTGTTTAACATCCATTAATATGAAGGACTTGTATTAAAAGAATCCAATTGAAAATCAACACTTACTTCATATTGTATATTTGCCACCCTCATAAATGTTTCCAATGCTATGGAAAAAGGTGATACGCTTGGGATAAACTTGAACCTTGTGATTGTTACAAGCTTCACATTAGCCTCCTTTGTTTCCGACATTGCTGAAAATGAATTGTCTACATAAAAGTTCTAGGACGTATTATTAAGCAGCTTATAAATCATCATATTTGATCTATAATATGTCCGTATCTAATAATGTTATGTTACTAATTAAAAGTGTATTGTGGCTCCCAGGGACTGGGGAATGAGAGTTAAGAGGTGTCAAGTCATTGGTTCTACGAGGAAGGAGATAGATGATGATAAAACCATGTGAGTATGGAATTTTTTCTGCATCTTTATTCGATTTTCACACTTTTGTATTTGATTACAACCATTCGATATTCCACTCTATTAAAATAATTCGAAACACGTACTAAATTTGTTTGTTTTTACACATTTATATTTGATTTATGTACCTTTATATGCGGTAAATGCACTTGTATATGCGGTTTTTGTTATTCAGTGTTTGGTAAAATATCGCATATTGAAGTCCATGTACACACACGAACAAAGACGGTTGACAAATATATTTAGAACACGCATCAAATACAAATACACTTTAGAACCAAATAGGCTAGGCAAATGGAAGTTTAACGTCCCAAAAATTGCAACAGTTTTTAAATTAGGCCTTTATTGTATATTGATACCAGTTGAAAAACATATCAAAAATATAGAAAAATATATGCAGTGGACAATGAAATGTCACATTCTAGGTACCCCCCTCCAAATTTGAGTATGGGATTGTAAATATTTTTTAATTTCAAAATTAAATGCTCTTGTCAACTAAATGAGTAATATTATGATAGTTTACTGACATAAGAGCAACTAAAAATTGTTAACCAACTATTTGAGTGCAATAATTGGCATTTCTAGCCCCAAATATCTTAAAATAAGCCATCAAATAGCCCGAATTTAATATAACAATGTCATTCATCAGAATTGCATGAAAAAAATCAAGGAGGTTAATGTATACCTGAAAATTGTATTTGATCAGTATCAGGGTCATTAGTTGAATATTCAGGGTGATAATAATATTTGAAATTTCAATATTTTACCACACCAACTTTTGGGGTGACCTTACTTTTGTTTAATTACTTCCAAGATATGTCATATTTGAACTCAACAGCACAACTAAATTATTTGTAAAGGCTTATTTTGTCCTGAAAACAGTTATTTGATGTTTTCCGGGAAGGATTATGTAAAAAAAGTAGAAAAACTGCAAATGGCAGGTGAAATATAGGGGAAGCCCTACTTTTAGTTGATAACTGCTAAATTATCAAATGTTTTGCCCTTATTATATTCAATTTGATACATTTTCTGTTAAAACAGAGAACGATTTGTTAGAAATTAAGTACAATCAGTGTTCTAAAAATATCCTTGAAAAGGCAACAAAATGTTAAATATCCCTGTCCCTGACATCAGGTTATTAATATGAGCCAAAAAAGGTAACCCAACCAAATTTTTGTTTATAACCCAGTCATTCAGCATGGGTTTGACATCATATTTTGCACAATTACCTTGTTCAATGTTCTTTCATTCTACTAAGTGTCATTGATCTATCCTTAATAGTCACGATTTTATGGCCATTTACAAAATATGCTCAAAATATCGAAATGTGCCTAAATGACTGGACATCAATACCACCAGCTTTTTATATGTGGACCTATTTTCTATACTTACAACCCTTGAAACATTAAAACAAGAGATGAGAATGAATATGAGAGTCATAACACACGATTTTTATGCTCCTGATTTGAAAAACTACGGCCGATACGTTCAAGTTGACCTCCAGGCATGACGCCCATATTCCATGGCATGGTATAAAATGGCCATAAAATTGTGACCACTAGAGATAGACCACTGAGACTAGATTGATAATACATTGACCAAGGCTCAATTCTGCAAAATATGACACTAAATTCATGCAGGATGACTGGACTGGGTTATTAAGATTTGTTTGGGTTCCCTTTTTAGCTCACCCTGTATTAAGGAAAATTGTTGCTTTTGACTAAGATGTTCTTAACCACACTGTGATATTGAGAATTGAAATGAAGAAGTTCAACTGTAGAATGTTGGATTTCAAGATGAAATTCACTAAAAAATGAGGAAAAGGTTTCTATGCTAATAAATTATACTGAGTTAACTAGTGTAACGCAAAGTAAATCCCTGGTCATGGGCATGGTTCGATTACGTTATGTTCATTATCAAAAATGCTGCCTTCATTTTGTAATCTTAACTTACATATATGTGTCTTACTTATAGAGAGCAAAAAATAATGCTGATTAAATAAGCTTAATACTTTTATGTTGTAACAACAATCACTTTCAACCTTGCCTATCAGCAGCCTTCATTTTTTAGTCATCATTATTTTCATGATCAGTAATTGAGGTCCTTGCACAAATGCCTTTGCACACCTTACATGCCATAGAACAGTTATTCCATTTTCTGCATCTCATAGAAGTTCAATCTGTCTTACACACACAATGGATGATCTCTAAGAGAGGGGAGCTGCAGGTAGGCAATAGACTAGATACGAGTAGAAATATTCATTAAATATTCAAAATTCAAAATGATGTCATATTTGAAATATTCCCCATAGACCCCATGTTACAAAATCACAAAAATTGAATTATCTTCTCTTGTATTGGACAGATAACATTTTCTTTTACTGGACATATTTTAATTTGCATAACCATTAGATACATAAGGGTTATATGAAAATTGAACCACGCAAATAGATGTAATTAAGTTAGGGAACTTTCTACTATACCAGCCATGCTATCTGACCCAAATGAACCATCTGGTGGTGAATCTGGTAACTACCTACTCGCATCTGCGTTATTGGTACAAAAGCTTCGCTGCTTATTTCCCAGCCCAATTATAATGGAGGCAGTTTATTTCCCTTCCACTCCTGGATCTGAAGGTACGCTCTATAACTGTGGTATCCCGCAGCATCAGACGTTGGAGGAAGAACACGGGGCTGCAATAATTCAGATCTTGCTGCTCTCTTTTAATAGAACTTTTGTTGAACGTTGTAACAAAATGTCAGAACATCGAAGGTATTTACACGTCGCACGAAACTGGGGACAATTAGCGTAACATTATGGCGTCAAAAAACAAAACAAAACAATGAGCAGTATAGGGCGCAAACAGCCTTACAACGTCAAAAACGACAAGCGTCACATTTTTTACAAGTTTAGTCAACCTAAAAATAAAATACTTTATCCTTATCTAATCATTACAAAATTTACAGGGTAGCAAGATCTCGAGGACAATATTTCTAAAATGTTTTTGAATTTTGAAAAACGGTCAAGAAATCCACTTGGGGCGTTAGTAAAATTTGATATGTATGGAATTTGTGGTAAAAAATCGATGCGTCACATTTTTTCAAGTCTCAAAAACCAGCTCTTATTTTGATATTATTTGCAAAATAAACAAACCGGTTATTGTTTTGTAAATTTCGCCATGACAATATTGTGCAGTTAAATTTTCTTTCAAATCAGACCTAAATTAGAAGGTTAAATGAAGGTAAACTTATTGCTCGTCCCATTCGCCTTCAAAACCTTACACAATTTTGAAAATTGTAAAAGCGTTCGTATAAGATAATTTGAAATGTAGCCGTTAAGCAATTGTGACGTCATAAATGCAAATGTTCCATTGAATAAATTGTGAAATTTAAGTTGGATTTTGATCATTATTTCAAAAGTTATCTCAATTTCAACGAGCCCTGTAAGCGTAAAGTGTTACGTCTTACAGCGTATTTGACGATGTCGGAGTATATTTAACTTTAAAAATGTGTTGGATCCCATCAAAATTTTGAAGGAAAAATAATTTCATTGAAATGCGAATAAAAAATACTTCAAAATGATATGTAAAACACATAGTTGGATTTTTAAATAAGGCAGAGATTAACGTTCAAAGCTGAGATAAGCCCGCATTTCCCGAATTGTCCCCAGGTCCGTGCACGTCATAATTATGATTTTTCTTTTTTTCTTTATTTCACACGTTGTAGGCAGAATTCCCACAACATTGTTATCACAAACATGTATCAGTATCATATGTTTAAAAAATGCACATATTTGCGAACAAATAGTTCAGAAGACAACAGAATCGTCGATTCAATTTCTCACTTAAGTTACATAAATGGTATTTCGATAAACAGTTAAGATCTGCACTTTTAACCCAAACCGTTTATGTAACTTAAGTGAGGAATTAAATCAAGAATTGTCTTCTAAGCTATTTTTGCGCAAACATGTACATTTTCTAAAACATGTGATACTGATACACGATTGTGAGAAAAAACATCGTGGGGATTCTGCGTACAACGCGTGAAAAAAAATCGCATATTCAACGTTTAGACATTTTGTCATACCTAAACGGGCGTATTCGAGCGGATCACCAGTGCCTTTGGTAATTTAAAAACGACCGCTTGTCTTCTCAAGAACTCACTCTTTTTTATCTGCCTCAATGATAGCTTCTTGTCAATTCCATATATAACCAGAATGAGGTGTCACACCCCAGAAAAGCATGGATAAAAAAAATTATTGTCACAGACCACTTTTCCCAAAGACAATCTTATTTCATTTATATCCAACATTTTGTTTCTTGGGTTGCTGCTTTTGGTTCAGGTTTGAAGAAAATGTTGAAGTTTGTGTTTTGTGCATGATAAATGAGAAGCACAAGGAGAACTGTATGAGTACTGTATTTGAGGTTGGAACACTTTGGATTGCAGTCTTCACAATCACGATATCTGCATCTGATTCTGAATGTGTAGCACATATGTACACTCAATGTTTTCCAACCTGACTGAGACAGAATTACCATCATTCCTACACACTGAAATTATATTAATGAAGGACTCCCCAGATATCTGAGATTTAAATGTGCTCTATCAGTTTAAATTACCTTTAATAACCATAAAATCGTTTCGACAACATTATACATCCAGTTCCAAAGGAATGTATTCTTAAGTAATGATTTATTTATCTGATGAATTTAAATATATGCAAATTTTGTAATTGCGGATTGTAATTAATAATTTGAACAATATTAAATTCCACAGAAACTACAATACATTATTTAGATAAGCCTAGTATAGAGCAGTTACCAAATACCCTAATATCAGAGTGGTGATATGTAATTATTCATCAATTAAAAGTGAGGTCACCTTAACATTTCACCTGGTGCAACTAATAATTCCTATTTTCATACTAATAAGGTATAAACCTTAACAAAACCTGTATTTTAGATGATGACAAGCCTATATAAATGATTTAGATGTCCGACCCTAATACGAATATCATGCATTGTGGGAGTTTGTCATCAAAACTATAGTCTCCCCTTTAGTGGGCGGGGCAAAACTATGAAAATGAATTTTTTTTTTCTTCGTAAGTCTACACGTTAGAATTCTGATACTCACCAAATATAAGTTCACATGAATATGTAACACCATGATTTTTTCATGCTTTTCTGACAATCTGATCCTAAAATATCTAAATAGATATTCAAAACTATAGTCTCCCCTAGTGGGCGGGGCAAAACTATGAAAAAGAAATAATTTTTTTCTTCCTAAGTTTACAAGTTAGAAGTCTGATACTCACCAAATATGAACACCATGATTTTTTTCATGGTTTTCTGACAAACTGATCCTAAAATATTTAAATAGATATGTGTTAACATGCCTGTTTTGTGGCCTATTTTGTTATACTTTGGGGTCAAATGACCAATTACTGGTCTCAGAAATGATCAAAACGATATTTCAATTATTTGTGAATATGTGACCTATCGTAATAAAGCTTGAATACTTGACTAAAGGTACGTTCACACCAACGGCGAATGCCACGCTTTAAATCGGCGAGCAAAGCGCCGTCATTTTTGTCATTTTTCTTCATACCAACGGCGCTTTGATGGCGCTTTAAAGCGGCTTGTAAAGCGGCACCAAAGCGTAACAAAGTTTGATTAAAGCGTCGGGGTCATAATAGGTCGTAGAAAAGCTCAGAGTGAAACGGGATATTCGGCAAGAGCGCCAAAAAATTTTAAACTCTTAAAAAATTTTGGGCGCTCTGTTACGAATCGATTAAGCGCCGAGAGCGTATCAAAGCTTAACAAACCGTAACAAAGCTCAGAAAAACTTGATCCAAAGCGTAGGAAAGCTTAACATAGCTCTAAAAGGTTCCTCACGCTTTGATCCCGCTTTGATCAGGCTTTGTTACGCTTGAAATCACGCTTTGAAAAGCTTTGATATGCATTATTACGCTTTGATGCGATTATGACGCTTTAAATCAGGCTCTGATACGATTGCAAAACTCTGTTGTGCATTGTTACGCTCTGTTAAGCTCTGTCACGCATTGGAAAATGTCGAGATCGCCGATTCCATGCCGCTTTTGATCCAATGACTATATAAAGATGCAGTAGATCCATAAAACCATTGCATCTTTGACTCGAGAACACGATGGCAGAACAACGAGATCCAGAAATTCCAGATGGACCAGAGCATGACCTATCTGAAGAAGACATGACGTTTGTCGCACGGCGTGATATAGCGTGTGAAAACTTTCAAGCGTAACAAAGCCTAGCAAAGCGTTTCAATCCTTGATTAAAGCGTCTCAATTCGTTGGAAAGCTTGAGAGTCCCTCAGGAAAGTGTAACAAAGAGTGTCAGATATTGATGAAAGCGTCTGACCTCGTGTCAGATCTTCATGCCAGATCGTAGCAAATCTTGAGACATCTTAACGAAGCGTGTCAAGTGGTAACAGACCGTGAATAGACTGGGGTCCCCGCTTTGAACCAAGCTGTGTTAAGCTTTCCTACGCTTTGAGTCAAGCTTTGTTGAGCTTTGTTACGGTTTGTTAAGCTTTGATACGCTCTCGGCGCTTCAATCAATTCGTAACAGAGCGCTCAAAATTTTTAAACAGTTTAACATTTTTTGGCGCTATTGCCGAATATCCCGCTTTACTCCGAACTTTTCTACGACCTATTACGATCCCGACGCTTTAATCAAGCTTTGTTACGCTTTGGTGCCGCTTTACAATCCGCTTTAAAGCGCCATCAAAGCGCCGTTGGTGCGAACGCTTAAACAGTTTAAATTTTTTAGCGCTCTTGCCGAATATCCCGCTTTACTCCCGAGCTTTTCTACGACCTATTACGACCCCGACGCTTTAATTAAGCTTTGTTACGCTTTGGTGCCGCTTTACAAGCCGCTTTAAAGCGCCATCAAAGCGCCGTTGGTGTGAACGTACCATAAAGTATTCCATTTGGGAACAAAAAATTGTTTCCTACCAATACTCAATTTTGGGGTAGGGTTGTAGGGCGTACCTAGGAAGTGAAATTTCATATTTGTCCACTGCATACATTTTTCTATATTTTTGATATGTTTTCCAACTGATATCAATACATAATATAAGACTAATTTAAAAACTGTTGCAATTTTTGGGATGTTTGGGCCTTTTATGAGCCCATTTGCTTGGCCTAAAACAATGTTCATTTACCGAACGATCATAGAGTACAAAATAGCACGGACATATAGTGACTTACCCCACATAATTAATGACATGTACTTTCGCATAAAATTATATGGGGTAAGTCACGTGACTTACCCCACATAAATGACACATGCTGCATGTGGCATAAAACCATTCGGTAAATCACGTGACCAGTGGAGTAGAAATTATTTCAAAATGTGGGAAAAAAGCGAGGAAAAAGAATTTGAATACGATTCATATTCACAATTCAGAGAGGAAATTAAGAAGTTATTAGATCATTACAACAGGCATGAGTCTACAAGCGATCCTTTCTTAATAGAAGATCCGTTTTCGCGATTGGAGAATCACACCAGAGCTCTTTGAATATATAGATGGCGCAAGTCACATGGTCGAAGTCACGTGACTTACCCCACATCAAAACAGTGAACATTGGTTTATATAAAAGCATTCGGTAAGTCACGTGACTTACCCCACAAATTAATATGTTTACCACAAATGAATATGTTTACCCAATACGAATGGTACTTGGCATAGCACATATTTAAAATACTTATCAAATTTATATTTGATCGGGTCGAATACAGTTTTGAAGCATTTTACATATTTGTTGTGTAAGACAGTCAATTATATGTGGGATAGTAGGTACCATTTGTTGTAACTGGTTTTGTTAATGTTCGGTTTAACTTACTCCGTGGGGTAAAAACCGAAGATATTAATGTTACGAATATTGATGCAATAAATACACTATATGTGAGAGATCTTACTTTATATTTTCTTGAATAAAACTTGCTACGTTTTCAAAATGTTTCTTCTTTTGTGAGGGAGAGAGGTCATAACTGCCATATTTCGAAAAGTACCTAATTCGATTGTGCTGTTTGGTATGTATCTCGAAAGCTTATATGAAAAGTATTATCCTGGTTCCGTCAACTGGTATTTGAAATATCGCATGGACAGACAGACGGACGAACGAACTATCTGACGGACGAACCAATGGCCTCTCTATTATCACTCTAATAAAAGCGAAGTGGAATGATTTTTTCTAAAATTATTCAATATATTTAAAAACGCTGTTTGAATACTTAGATGTGGAATGCCTGCTGGCTGAGACGGGACGCTTTTCAAAATAGGTCAATATGACAGTTTTCCTCTCAAATTCGAGAACGTGATACGTGAATACTTAAGGGAATTCAATATACACAATGACTATTCATCAAACAGAGCACTTAATGATACTTTGCATTTCAGAAAAAAGGTAACCAGCAATATTTTATGGTCTTAACCCTTATGTCTGCACAGGGGGAGGGGGATTTTTCAAGTTTACTTTCTGCAATTTTTTGTATCTCCGTTATTTTTTATACGACACTTTTCGGCGTAAAAAAAGGTGGTTGGGGGTAGGGGGCACAGTTTATATAGCTGGAACTCAATAGAACTGACATTCATAGAACATTAAAATTCATTAAAACATTGTTACCTTGTTTCTAATACTCTCGAAAATACAAAAAGATGATTATTGGTCTGCTTGATAGAAAATAATTTAGCATATCCAATTCTCTTTCCAATATGCTTTATTTCATGGAAATCGAGAAAAACGTTATTTTAAACTACTCAATGAATATCTTCGATTTTTTTGCATATTAATGAATAACTTAATAAAATGTTGTAATACAATAATGATGATACCTTCTTCAAAATTATTTCTTATTCTCCCCTACCCCCAACTTTTCAATTTCGCTATTTTGATGCTTCTGCCGTTGCTATGTGGTTGCTTGGCAACAGCATGGGCCGATGTCAATGGGATTTCGCGATATCTTGTAACTAAACGTTATAAAAAAGGTTGCAGACTTTGGGGTTAATTGACATCATCTTCCGAGTATCATAAAGTTGCTCCTGTCGCTGTAGCTCAAGGTAGAAAAGTAAGGGATGTACAAAAACTTGCAAATGTACTAGCTATCTGATGAAAACGGAGACAGTAAAAGCTGAACCCAAAGTTACATAAAATAATATATTTGTAAAACTTACCAAGACGATAATATCCAAATGCAGAGTACTATACCAACAGTAATGTGTACTCACAGATACATGAGAGGTTAAATAGGACATATAAAACAAGTCTTATCTTAAAAATAGATGATTAATGAAATAAGACATATTTTAAGACATGTATTCCCAATAATGGTTTAGAATGGGTGCTTGGGGATGCGACCTCTGCTATCTTGGGTCAAGAACAAGGTTATATTTTTGATGCATGCTCAAAGTATTTTATCAAAAACATATATGTACAGGGTAGCACCAACAAGTTAATGTATTGCAAATGTTTTAGTTTTGTTTTTATGTCTTATTGCGCAAATGTTTTTAGCTCTTCTTTAGAATTGTACGTGTACACATGTATTGTATGTTTTAACTGCTGCACTAGTTTGACTATGTGCCACTGATCTAAAAGTGATTGCAATAAATTAATAAAAAAAAATTAAAAAACACACTGGCAGAGGAGGCCTGACAAACGAAGTTTTACTGGTCGTATACGTACATCTTTGATGCATTATACTAACGCGGGAAATCTAAAAGAATTCGAGGATGGTGCTAACCAACAATTTCAAAAGGCATTATGGTTTAGTTACCCTGCCTTTTTACACAATTATTGTTTTTCACCATGATTTTGCATTAATGTCAAAGTCACATTCAACTCACAATTTTCTTTAACTATTATTGGATTTAGTGAATCAATGTATCTCTGATTAAGATGTCATACCAGTTTTGTTTATTTTAGAGTTTCGTCCTGTAAAATTAAGTGGAGTGAGTAAAAGCTGTCGCTTTTATACTCCAATAGACTAGATGCGAGTAGAAAAATCTTGATTTACGCCATTAAATATTCAAAATTCAGTCAAAGCGATGTTATATTTGAAATCTACATGTAAAAGTACATCCAGAAATATGGTTTCGAAAATCGTTTATCAAGTCTGAGAATTTAATTATTTTTGAAAGTGTGACTTCTAGTTCGGGTTGGTTCTCCAGAGAGCCTATGTTATAAAATCACAAAAAGTGAAATATCTTTTCTTGTATTGGTCAGATAACATTTTCTTTAACTTGACATATTTTGATTTGCATAACTATTAGATACATAAGGGTAATATGAAAATTGAACCACTAAAACAGATGTAATTTAAGTTAAAGGGAACTTTCTACTATACCCGCCATGCTATCTGACCTGAACAAGCCACCTGGTGGTCAAACTTGTAACTACCTACTCGCATCTGCGTTATTAAAGTATTCAATTTTGGTTGAATTCATGTATTGTAATTTCCACGATCTTTCCTTGAATTCTTGCGTTATAACATGACCGTTTGGACAATTACTTCAGAATTACACTATTCAACTTAAATGCCATAATGTAGATACCATTGTGATCATCCGTTATTTATGCAAATTACGGTAAAAGATAATACAAGTTGTATGACAAAAGTAAATAGGATTGTAGTTTGCTACTACATATTCTAAAATGACTTTAATTGGTGGTCATTTTCTAGAAAATAAACAATGAATACGCTTGAAAAGTATTCGCCTCAAACACAGGATAATGAATAAACGTATATTTGTTGACGGTTGACTGGTTTGTGCTCATCTTGATCAATATGTGTACACCACGTGTTGTTGTTTTAAACCTGCACCTCGTGCACAGGTGCATGTTGTTCAGAGGTGACTAATTATATTTTGAGCTATAAAGAGGGAATATACAACAATGAACTACTGGGGCAAATGCTATTTTTAAATAATTACGATAAATTTGTCATTATGAGGATTGTTCCTTCGGATTGCTTGGCCGATTGCCTGCTTGGATGTTTGCGGACCATCCACTTTTCGATGATTTGCAATTTTGTAATATCACCTGCTGAATTACTTTTTTGAACACGGTATGTAAATACTGAATATGGTCTGTGGCACAATGCTTGCTGATGACTGTGGGTTGAATCCCGGCATCAAACTTAATGGATGGATTTCTTCTATCCCACATCATTTCGAGACTGAATGCTCTATCTACTATGAGTACTAGATAAAGTTACTACAAATGTTTTTGTTGTAATGAGTTTTGGCTATAAATTTTTCTTCAAGATAATTCAGTCCATACTATGATACTTGTGCAGTAGTTGTTATAACGATTTATTCATTATAAAGATGTCATTGTATCTCAGGAAGTACATTGCTAACACCCCAGTCACATTTCCCACGGCCGCCGTGCGGTCTGTCATTTCTGCGGCCAGTAGCTTTTCTACGCTCGCCGTAGAATTTCTGCGCTCTCATACTTTTGCAGTCACATTTCCCACGACAGCCGCACGGTGAATTTTCAATTTCTGTTGATAAATAATACTTTTTTCATTTTATTTATATCAGGACAATTTATAAATGTTATTTATAGTGCTAGGATGTAATATCAAATGAAAAGTGATCGTGAAACATTGACAAATAATGATTCAATCTTGTTGAGCCAGTTTATTTCTACGGGAACCTCAGAAATGAACAAATATTATAACTCCGAGTTATTATTTCTACGGCGACCCTGCGGCCTGTAAAAAACTGGATACGCCGTACGGAGGCCGCAAGGCGAGCGTAGTTTTCCTACGCTCGCCGCAGAAATACACTGATATAATTGATCTGCGGTCGACGCACGCCCTCCGTACGACAAATGTGACTGGGGTGTTAAGGTCCTGAAATTTCATATAGCTTTTAAGAAGGGTAATACTAATGTGTATCTGTATCAAATTTCACATAAAAATGATAAAATCTCTTCTCTTGAGAAGCTTTCGTGCAAAACTTTTCGAACCATCCTTGTACTTTATTCAAATTCCTTGTGACTTCCCCTAAGCGGAACGTCTATTATATATCAACATCACACTATATTAGCTTTAAATTGTTACGCTGTACCATCTATGATACATTGAGACACCACCTCTAAAGTAAACTGGAACTCAAAAAGGACTACTGTACTGGACTACTGTAGATTTTATTACTAGTCGGCATTGTTAAATCAACTAGTATTATGTTTTAAAGTCTATAGTCGCCTGAGGCGTGTACTAATATATTCTTGATAATAGTCGCCTGATAGTTAAAAGAGGCATCAAAGTGAGTGTGCTTCCGTGTAGATGGTGCTACACAAATTAGACTGTATAAGCTCGCACGTAGAGACGCACGTAAATACTTTTGCATGGTTAGTTAAGCTAAAAACTACATTGTGGCTTCAAAATACTAATTGTTCGTCGTGTTCGTTGATGAGGAATTTAGAGATTTAATGTAACAATTGGTTTGAGATGTTCGTTCAAATATTCAGGTATGTTTACAACAAAATACAAATTGATCCAACAACACAGATGATAATGTAGAGAACAAGTGCGACACGATCCAGCATCAACGCAGCCTTGTACCAATCATCCTGAATCACTGCTGCACGACCAGGACGTCCCTCATGACCGGAACTCTTCAAATGCTTCAAAATCTCCGTCAATGTGCGATCAAGTTTAGTCGCATGCAGATCCGTCAATTCGTCCACGTCGTTATCTTTGGCAATGTTTGTCGTAAGTTGAGCCTGGTCGTCATCTTGGTTGTCAAAATACAGCAATGGCGAGTATCGTTCCTGTTTAATGCAACAAAGAGATCCTAGCTTACCATGAACCAGCTGAAACAAATAAATGAAAACGTGACATTTATATATTAATATACATTTATTATACATTTATATTATAATATGAGAAGCCTTTAGCTTATAATGTGCTCCAATAATTTCCAACTTAATATATCAATTGTTTAAATACTATATTGGATTAGTTTCATTTCTCAAAGTAATAATTTGAAATTATTATAATGCACGTCTTGGTGTAGAGCTGAAATCTTACTGTTTAGAGGATATAAAATATTTGACAGCAAAACCTAAATTCACCACAAGATTAACAATATTTGGTCTGCTGTTCTCGTTGTCTGTCATTTAAAAGGTAACCTCTAAAAGGGCACTTTCTGGCGAAGCTTTCAACAAATTATCCATCAACAACATATCATCAACGTTAATTTAAGCAGTGTGTTGGAGGATACAACTCATATGGACATAAAAAGATGTATTCTGTTTAATGAGCATGAAATATCAAACAATCCCCCTTTTGAGAGCTGGTTGCAAACATGCTTTATGAACAAGTTGGAAATAATCAGAGCACATGATACCGTATTTTTATGTTGTCTTAGTTTCTATTAGCAAACTTTGATTTTGTCTAAAAAATCATCGTTAAAGTGCCTGATAAACTATAAAATGCGCATGCGTCCAGGTGTTGATAAACTATAAATAGCGAAAACCCAGGGTTTGTCATCACAAGGTAAGCCAGGACGTGTTGAGCGAACATCTGGTGTTGATATTGAATTTACATGTAGCCAGATAAGTTTCCTTATTGAAATTACATATAGTTATTAGCAATACTTTGTAGGTGATAATTAATAAAAAAAATTTTTTATTTTTTTTTTTTATACATTATCAATTTATTTCATCATAATCATGTTTTACAAGAATGGCTTGCCAATCGCTTATAAAGCATTATAGGCTAAGCTAGAAAATACATAAATTTAATTACAAATGTAAATGCATGTAATATGGAAGAATAGCAGCAATTTGGATAAGAAATGGGAAATAGGACAGGCTGGGGTCATGTGTCATAGTCTCAGTGAGGGAATAGTAGGCATAGTTAATACTTGCTTGGAGGGTCCCATAGAGAATTATGATTATGTTAAGAGTTCTCCAGTAAAAAATTGGCAACAAGAGCAAAAAGTTCATTATTTTGTGCCAGCGATAAATCTTCACTGCCATGTTTCAGAAAATTTATAAATTGGCTTTTGTTCCTTATAGCTAAAGGCTTGTAAGTCTCTACAAGTGCAAGAAAAGTGTTCCTATTTTGTGCTTTATTTGGACAATAAAAGAATAAATGTTTTGGAGTTTCAGGCACACCACAAGCGCAGTTTGGTGTTTCAATATAAGTAAAATTATGGCCATATAGCTGAGCTTTAGTGAGTAAGTCAACTCTGAATCTATTGAGAATTATTTCTTGATTTCTTTTTAACTTTGATTTAGTAGTTGGTAAAAAGGAGGGCTTAGGGATTTTATTTTTTTGTAAGTTATTGAAGCTGGTAATTGTTGTGCTTTCTCGAATATACTTTGGTAGCTTATTCCAGTGGGAGATAGCATTGAGGACAGAAGAGTTTCTAAATTTGGTTGAGCTTTTGGCAGGTATTTTGAAATCAGGATTTGATCTGAGTTCTCGGGGATTTTGAATCCTCAGAGGTTCAAAGATATCTTTCACATAGCTTGGAGTGAGATTATTTTTAACTCTAAACATGAATTTATTTATTTTATTGACCGCCTTGTTTCTAGATCAGGCCATGTGAGTGTATTCTTTACCTTAATTGAACTACTACCATGTAAACATCCACTGCATATAAGAGCAGCTTGATAGAATAATTTATTTAATATGTTAAGGACACTTTGAGTAGAGGAATCGTAGAGTATTGCGCCATATTCAAAGTGTGGTCGAATGAAAGACATGAAAATAGTTTCGAGGACATTGGAATTTAGTTTCTTTTGCAGTGATCTGAGAGGATTCAGGAGCTTGTTTACTTTGTTTCTTATGGCAATTATATGTTGTTTGTTAGACATGTGCTCATCAAAGGTATAGCCTAAATGTTTATGCGATGTTTCCCTTTTTATTAAAGCATTATTCATAAAGGAATTGTTCACTTGGCCAAGTTTAATTCTGGAATTATGAAAAATTATTTCGACACTTTTTTCAGGTTTAAAGTTGAGTTTCCATTTAATAGACCATGATTCAATTCTTTCTATTGCTTGGGTTACTTTGTTATCAATTTCTGAAGGATTTTTAGTACTAAACGGGAAGTATATAGACGTATCATCTGCATATATAAAGCAATCAGTATTCATATTATCGGGTAGGTCGTTTATATATAGTAAGAAGAGAAGGGGACCTAGTATTGATCCTTGTGGCACTCCACTTTTGATAGCATGTGTTTGTGATAAAGATGATGAGGATCCTGAAATGTTCACTCTGACTCTTCTTTCGTAAAGATAGGATTTAAGGAGATTTAGAACTTGTCCCTGCAGACCATATGATTTTGATTTAAGTAGTAGAAGATTGTGAGGTACGCAGTCAAAGGCGGAGGCAATATCAAGAAAAAGAGCTTTAACTCCCTTACCTTGATCAAGATTTGATTGGATAAGATGTTCAATGGCAACAAGTTGGGATTGGGTACTGTGACCCGGCAAAAATCCAGATTGAAATTTGAATAACAGGTCATTTGAAATGAGATGTTGTTTTATTCTGTTTGCAATTATTCTTTCAAAAAGTTTTGATATACAGTCCAAAAGAGTTATAGGTCTATAATTTGACAGGTCTGACTTGTTATTTTTCTTGTGGATTGGGCAAATGCTACCAATCTTCCAAGATTTTGGAAATACGCTTTGCTGTAATAACATGTTAAATAATTTAGTCAAAGGATAAGAGATTGAAGGAGCGGATAAATGGAGCATTTTATTAGTAATGAGATCAGGGCCACAAGCCTTGGATGTGTCTAAACCTAGGATCAATTTCATAACTTCGGATACATCTGTTCTAATCGAAACAAGAAGGGAATTTGTTCGCATTGGAAAGGTGGGTTTGTAATCATCGGGGATATTGTAGTCATATTTATTCACAAAAAAATTAAGAAAGCCATTTGCCTTGTCAGTGTTTGTATTTAAGGTTTTTCCATTTGTATCATAAAGAGCTGGAATACTACTTGAAGTGTTATTTCTCCCTATTAATTTGGTTACCAATTTCCAAAAGTTTTTATCATTCTTATTTAAGGATTCAACTTTTTGTATGGCATTTTTTTCATGTTGAATTTTAGCTGAGGATATAAGATTTGAAACTTTAAGGGCCTGGTTTCTGTAGAGTTCAAAATTTAAAGGACATGGGTTTTTTTCATTACGTTTATATAACTGTCGTTTTTTATTCATTTCAACCTTTAAATGCTCATTATACCATGGTTGATCATTTGATTTTATTGTTTTAGTGTGATTTGGGATTTTCTCATGATATACATTTGAGTTTCTCTATGAAATCAGAAGTGCATTTATCCAAATCATTTGAACTTGTCAAGATACTATCCCAGTCAGTTTGTCTAATTTCATTATTTAAATTTGCTATATTTGTTTTGTCATATTGATACAGAGTTCTTTTAAATGGAGGATTCTTTGTAAAGTTGAGATTTAAAGTTGTAAAAAGGGTACCATGATCAGATCTTCCAATAGGAGCATCGATTGACCAAGAATCAATAGAGTTTGGTGAATTTGTAAAGATATGATCGATGCAAGTTTTTGAAGTGCTAGTTATCCGTGTTGGTTTGTCAACTATTTGTATAAAATTATGTGCATCAAGACAGTCTAAAAGTAATTCACCAGCAAGATTTTCATCATTCTGAAACCAAGCTGGATTTTTTGCATTGAGATCTCCCATGAGTAAAACTTGATCATATTTATTTGCATCGTTTTTAATGATATCAAGTTGCTGATGTAAACGGTTAAAATAAATTCGAGTTTCTTCTGCAGATTGACTTGGTGATCTATAACAAATGCCGAAAATGATCTTTTTGTGGTCAACAGAGATTTCAGCTAATAAGATATCAAGATTATTAATGTAGAGATTATGATTATAAGGCTTAACAGAAATATCTTCATGAGAATAAATGACAAGTCCTCGACCTAGTGGAGTGAAAAGTGGATTCCGGTAGTGTTCTAACTTTAAATCGGGAAGATCAAGGCTATTTTCAATATTTCCAGTTTCACACAACCCTACAAAGCTTGGATTCAAGTCAGTCACTCTTTGCTTCAGGTCTTCAAATCTGGAGCCTGAATCCGCAAGTAAGCTATTAATGTTTGAAAAGAGGAAGGAAATCTTTTCACATGTTTTGGGACCTGGGTTAGGATGTACGTCACCCGCTAGAATAAGTAGACAAACAAGTGATGGATTCAGTAGGTATATTGTTGAGCCTGGTACCAATAAGAATAGGCTAAATAATGCAGTAGCTTGAATCATGGCAAGTGGATTGAAATGTTTAACATTTTTAATAATGAAGAGAATAATACTTACTGGTAGAGCACAAAAGAAGAGCACAAAATGTGACATGAATAGCAGTGTTATTACCACTACGTAGCAGTATGCAAAATGTTTCAGAGTTACTATCAGAATTGTAGATAGTATACCCATTACCATGAGAATGAAAATAATCATTGACCTCATATTAGTTGGGGTGTGGTCTGTCTTAAGTTTGGATGAAGGGGCATAAGTAGAACTGTTGTAGGATCCTATACGGGCCCTCCATAATTGCAATGTTATACCTGCACCTTTAACCTATACCATCCCTCACTGGAGAGTTGACTAGACACAAGAATAAAAGATGTATGAAAAATGAACCCCAAATGCCTATTCCAATATTCATGTCAAAGATATTTAGAGTTCTTATCATTGTATGCTAAGTAAGTCAGACACTGGAATGAAGCTGCTTCCATACTTTAACAGTAAGAATAAAATGCATTAAATAAATTCTATATACACACAGTACTGTAAATATTATGTCTCAAATTAGTAC